TTTTCTTCAAGTTAAAATTTATTATTTTCAAATTTTCAATTTGCAGGTGATACAATCAATCTTTGCTGCAGAGACACAAATAAAAATTGTCAGATTTAAACACTTTTTCCAAATATCTTTCTAATTGATACCTATAAATCATTCAGCAACAACAAAATTAAAGAAATATGATCCGCAGTCCCTTTCAGCCTAGAATTCAAACATTTAAATTCGGATGTATCTTGATTATGAAAAAGTAGCTGGCCAACATCTTGTTTAAGATCCGTATTGAAATAGCTAGGGAATGGTTTTCTTCCTATTTGTTGTTAATATCTTGATATCTATAAGGTTGACTGGGAAGGAATATCTTGATATCTGTAAGGTTGACTGGGAAGGAAGATCTTGATATCTGTAAGGTTGACTGGGAAGGAATATCTTGATATCTGTAAGGTTGACTGGGAAGGAATATCTTGATATCTGTAAGGTTGACTGGGAAGGGGCTAATTTCCAGATCTTCAATTGAGTCTAGCAATTTTGGGCTTGTATTCTGGTGGGCTCAGATATTAGCCTGGTAAATTCGTTTTTACAACCCTATTCCAGCCTTTACGAGGAGAGTAAACCATCCCACCTTACACCAGTATATAGAGGATAGAAGCATCCTTACACTAGTACATAGAGGATAGAAGCATCCTTACACCAGTATATAGAGGATAGAAGCATCCTTACACCAGTATATACAGGATAGAAGCATCCTTAAACCAGTATATAGAGAATAGAAGCATCCCACCTTACACCAGTATATAGAGGATAGAAGCATCCTTACACCAGTATATAGAGGATAGAAGCATTCTTACACCAGTATATAGAGGATAGAAGCATCCCACCTAACACCAGTATATAGAAGATAGAAGCATCCCATCTTACACCAGTATATAGAGAAAAGAAGCATCCCACCTTACACCAGTATATAGAGGATAGAAGCATCCATACACCAGTATATAGAGGATAGAAGCATCCTTACACCAGTATATAGAGGATAGAAGCATCCATACACCAGTATATAGATGATAGAAGCATCCCACCTTACACCAGTATATTGAGGATAGAAGCATCCATACACCAGTATATAGAGGATAGAAGCATCCTTACACCAGTATATAGAGGATAGAAGCATCCATACACCAGTATATAGATGATAGAAGCATCCCACCTTACACCAGTATATTAAAGATAGAAGCATCCCACCTTACACCAGTATATAGTGGATAGAAGCATCCTTACACCAGTATATAGAGGATAGAAGCATCCATACACCAGTATATAGATGATAGAAGCATCCCACCTTACACCAGTACATTGAAGATAGAAGCATCCCACCTTACACCAGTTTATAGAGGATAGAAGCATCCCACCTTACACCAGTATATAGAGGATAGAAGCATCCCACCTTACACCAGTTTATAGAGGATAGAAGTTTCCCAACTTAAACCAGTTTATAGAGGATAGAAGCATCCATACACCAGTATATAGAGTATAGAAGCATCCCACCTTAAACCAGTATAATAGAGCTAGGATAGAAGCATCCCATCTTACAACTTTATAGACCCCAATAGATAAAATGATAAATATCCTTTTGAGGAGCTAGGAGATTGAACAGAACGACAATGGATATAATCGGTCAGGAAAGAGGATAGGATGCAACTTGTATTTCCTGTTTTCTACCAATCTTCAGAAGAAATAGATAAATGACCCACAGTTGACATAAAACACTGTAGTTTTAATTGATTACCAGATTTTTTTTTACCAAATAAAGATTAAATACAATGAGAAAAGGAAGTTCTGAAATAGGAATACGACTTTTAGATTCAAGTCATGACGGTTTAATGGTGTCGATTAGAATTTGATGGTTAGAACCGCAAGGATTAGAATCTGATGGTTAAAATGGCATGAATTAGAATCTGATGGTTAGAACAGGGTAGATTAGAATCTGACGGTTAGAATAGCGTATATTAGAATCTGACGGTTAGAATAGCATATATTAGAATCTGACGGTTAGAACGGCGAGGATTAGAATCTGATGGTTAGTACGGGGTAGATAAGAATCTGACAGTCAGAACGGCGAGGGTTAGAATCTGACGGTTAGAACGGGGTAGATTAGAATCTGACGGTTAGAATGGCATGGATTAGAATCTGACGGTTAGAACGGGGACGATTAGAATCTGACCATTAGAACGGAGACGATTAGAATCTGACGGTTAGAACGGAGACGATTAGAATCTGACGGTTAGAACGGAGACGATTAAAATCTGACGGTTTGAACGGAGGCGATTAGAATCTGACGGTTAAAACGGCGTGGATTAGAATCTGATGGTTCCAAACGATTTCAGCTGCATTCCTACCACTCTATCCCCGTTGTAAATTTGAATTCGAACAGGACCTGCCCAGTTTGTACCGGCCTGCCAGATAACAGCGTGTACTGACCCAATCCTTTGGTACAGTACTTCGCCCTAACCAGACTAACATACGACAGGGGTCAATTTTCTTGGCATAGTCCCGTGCGAGGGCTAAATATGACAACTCCCATGGCGTGTTCAGACTTTTTACAGTACCCGGCCTAATCCTAGGCCTATTTGACCGACCCCACTGGCTTAGTCCACCGTGCTACAGCCTAGGATAGCAGAACTCTGCTCAGAAAGCTCTCTGCACTATTTGCAGTGGACAATGAGAAAGGTTTCTACACAAAGGAGGGAGGGCAGACCAAACGGTCCTGAACCCCGTCAAGAAATATAAATAACAATGCGCATTCTGCATGCATGGCGGTGCACACTTATCCTCATCTCAACTCTGCCCTACCTACCGGCCATCTAACCTTCTCACAGGCAGCAAAATGTGACTCGAGGACATTTCTCTGTTGGATCCAACAACAAAATGTCCTCTGAGCGCGGCGGGTCAATTGATTATCCTTTGTTTAACAGGAACCCTTATTGTATAGGAAAGTAAAAATGTTCGGTTTATAGCAGGGAAGCTATTGCTCCCTCGCTGCAAATAGAAACTAACTTAAAGTGCTAGAAGTGGTGACCTAGCAAATGGAAGTAGACAGAATGTGCAGATATGAGGCTGCAATTACAAATAAGCAAAACAAAAAAAGGAGAAGTGGACATATACAATGAAAGGGTGATCGTGCACTGTCTTATAATTTGTCGCAAAGACAGCAACTCTTAAACATTCTTTTAAAAACAGCGCCATAAATTGACGGGAAAGGGAGGAAAGAAATAGAAAAACTGCGGACATGCAGATGGAGAAAGGAGAAAAAAATAACATTTGAAATTATTGACTATGCCTTGTACCATTTTATTTTATAAAAATTATAAAAACATTGTTAAAACATTTCCAATAATTTTTCTTTTCTATGGATGAATCGGATTCAAGGCAATATCAAAACAACTTGTTTATATGTCACTTGATCAGTGTAGGATATATTGTAAATAATATTGTAGTGTGGGCTGAATTATGCTACAAGCATTCACAAGGGAAACATTGGATATTGGAGAAAAATCTCAACATAATAGAATACAATGGTAATTTATAGATAATAGGAAAATAAAATAGAAAAAAGAAAAATATATAATTGTTGAAAATAAATAGATGTTCAAACAGAAACACATTTAATGTGCTTTCTCTGCAAATAATGTCTATTTGTCTATCCGTCTATCTGTCTATCTGTCTATCTGTCTATCTGTCTATCTGTCTATCTGTCTATCTTTCTATCTGTCTATCTGTCTATCTGTCTATCTGTCTATCTGTCTATCTGTCTATCTGTCTATCTGTCTATCTGTCTATCTTTCTATCTGTCTATCTGTCTATCTGCCTACCTGTCTATCTGTCTATCTGTCTATCTGTTAATCTGTCTATCTATCTATCTATATTAGTATTCCCTCATAATTCCGCGGCTGTCCCACTTCTTCGTATGAATAGACTCATTATAAGGCTGAGATCTCTATAGAATCTAAATCAGGCTCTTTACAAGGCTATTCATACACCCATACAGTCATAAGACCATTCATACAGTCATAAGACCATCCTTACACTCATTGGACCATTCATATAGTCATAAGACCATCCTTACAATCATACAGTCATAAGACCATTCGTACAGTCCTAGGACCATTCATACAGTCATAGGCCCCTTCATTCAGTCATACAGTGATAAGAACATTCATACAGTGATACGAACATTCACCTAGTCATAGGACCATTCATACAGTCATAGGACCATCCTTACAGTCATAGGACCATCCTTACAGTCATAGGACCATCCTTACGGTCATAGGACTATTCATGCAGTCACAGTATCATTCATACAGAACCGTTTATACAGTAATAGGACCATTTATTGCAGTCATAGAAACATTCTTACAGTTATATGACCATTCATACTGTCATAGAACCATTCATACAGTCATAGGACCACTAATACAGTCAAAGGACAATTAATACAGTCAAAAGACAATCCATACAGTCATAGGACCATTCATGCAGTCAAAGATCCATGTATACAGTCACAGGACCATTCATACAGTCATATGACCAGTCTTACAGTTATAAGACCATTCATAAGTCATAAAATCATTTGACCATTCATATAGCCATACAGTCACAGGACCATTAATACAGTCATAGCACGAATCATACAGTCTATAGGACCATGCATACAGTCGTAAGACCATTTATGCAGTCATCGGACAATTGATTTAGTCCTACATATACAGTCATCTGTCATAGGACCATTCATGCAGTCATAAAATCCTAGGACAATTCATATAACCATACAGTCAAAGGACCCTTAATACAGTCATAGGATCATTTGTACAGTTATAGGACCATATTGCAGTCATAGAAACATTCTTACAGTCATAATACCAAATTCATATAGTCATAGAAACATTCATACAGACATGGCACCATTCATAGAGACTATAGGGTCATTAATACAGTCATAGGACCATAAGATTACCGGCACGTATAAACAGATCATTTATTTAACTGAAATTACTTCTGCACACTTATAAATAAACATTGAACTTCATGTTCATAGTGTTTAACTTTCAACATTTAATAAACATCTAATGCCCGATATCTACAAATACAGTTTAGTTGAGAAATCTTTGTTTAGCAGATCTAACAATGTTGATATTCTCCAGAATAGATTTCTCCTCCTCTATATAAGGAACCTGACTGCTTCTCACATAGTTGACCGGTCCAGGGAGGATATTAACCTCTACTGGAGATTTAACAGCTCCGACCCCTCTACTATACACTAATCCTTTCAAATCCTCTCTTCCTGGCTCCTCCTGTCGATTCAGCCTACTCTGGGTCCTCCTGTGATCCCTGGTGCCTGACCTGGACCCGGAGTAGGGTTCGAATGCATATTTGCGCTTGTTGAGAGGGGTTAGACTAAACTCTGCTCCGTTCTCTAGGATATAGAGTCCACTGTCCTCTTCATCTCCGGAGATATTACTCCGGTTGGATCTAAATACACAAACAATGGAATCTATTTTCTTTTATTTATTTCAATTTTTATGTACTATTAAATGAATTGTTGTTGTAACCAGACATTTAAAGAATATCAGTTGGGTTTCACTGGAAAATTGACGTATGAATTTATGCCTTAGTGGTGGAGACAAATCAATAAATAATTTACAGAATTTAACAATTTTAACTTTTTAAATGGGGGGTCACTTGAAACTTAATATTTCTAACCATTATAAATATTAAAATCTTGTATATTTCAATATTTTGGTTGGATTTAAAATCATGATTTACTTTAATATTTCTAACCATTTAAATGATAAAAACTTTTAGATTCAATAAAGTTTCTATGCTCATTGTATTTTTAATCTTTAACTTTATAAAAGTGATTCCAATTCGCATTGGGGGAAAAATAATTATTAATATTTAATGCATGTATATGTAAGTCTAACAATGCTGGTAAAACAAACGAAATATTTTCTTTAATCCTGGGATTTCCAAAATCTGGACTAACTGATTTAGTTGAGTTATGAAGAATTTATCAAATATAATCGCAATCAAGAAAAAACTTAATTTTAATGTTGTTACTGTTCTTAAAAACTCTGAAAGATAAAAAAATCAATTGACAAAAAAAATGTTCAGGATAAAAGACTGTCTGTATTAAGGATATTTCATGTTTTATCCTTGTTTAATATTTTAATAATTAAATTTTGATAATTAATCTTTATACATTCATTTAATTAGGTTTCATGAATGCATTTAAGTCGTCCCGTAGGTAATAAACAATACTCTCAGCTTTTGATGGGCATCGATTTCTAATTCTTTTTTAACTATTCCAGGTTTTTACTTGATTAAAGGGAGTGACCGGCAATGTATGATAGTTTTACTGAGAATGTAGTATTGGGGGGAAAAAAATAGGAATCATTTGAGACGTTTTTACGGTGCATATTTGTTCATCAAGAGCGCAAATTCAATCTTAAAAATCTTCATAGATTGTTCATTTTTGAGGGATGGTTTTGAGAATCGATTTTTTTAAAATTATTTAAAACAGTAAACTAATTAGTTGTTTAGGAACAGGGTGAGAAAATAAAAACTTACTATCATCATCGAAAAGAAGTAATCTTATTCAGTTATTGGTTTCTGTAATGTCTCAATATTTTATGTAGATTTCCTGGAATTTTTATTGAAAAGACGACATTTGAAGAATTTGAAGAAATCTGCGAACAAATACACAAAGAATAAGAATTTCAATATAATGATGAGAAAGAAAAAATTGAATCTAACATTGGTTTATTGAGAAAATTTCAATTGAGAAATATGCTCCTAAATATCTGATTAGTTTACGTACTGTAGAAAATTTTTAAAAAATCGTTTCTCAAAACGTAACTACCCAAATGTATGATTTTGAACGTCGACTAGTTGCGCTCAAACTCAGTAATTATACATCATTGAAACGTTTCATATATCTCAAATGATTTCATGAAAATTTCTCCATAATACCACATACTCAGTTCAACTATCATTACATTGCCGGTCACTCCCTTTAAACGCCTCCAAGTTGTTTTCAAAATGACTCTCTATAAAATCTTGCTTTAACTAAGTTGTGGAAACGAGTGAGAAAACGACGCCCATTTCTACTTAGTACTCACATCTCTAGTAAAAATGAATATAAGAAGTTGAAGGTAATTAAATAGCTTTAAGGGATGACAAGAGGAAATATAATACAAGAGTACATTGACGAGTTACTCTGATAACCTAATATTTCGATGTTTCAAACATATTTGATCTCGCTTGAAATAATATGGAAAGCATGAAATATCCAAAGTTTACAACATCAGGCTGCTAAATTAGAGCATGGGAGAATAATCAGCTTCTTTACACCAATTTAGTTTTATCTAAAAGAATTGAGTCTTTGTCACAAACTCGGATTTTTAAATTCCAATTTCTTTAGACCATAGATATTTCAAACTATGATTTCTAGTGGATCAAACAAGGTTAGTTTGAAATATGAAAGGTATGCATCATCTGGTTGTTGAGATTTAGGTATTATAAAATTGGCATTTGTGGCAAAAACTCAATTCCTTTGTTGGATTTAAAACTTCACATATATATGATAAAAAGTCCTGATATCCGAACATAAAGTATCTAAGAACAATTTGGGTTAAATCAAATGTGATATCTTTTGTGACAAAATATTTTTTTACTGGAATTTTTGTTTATTTTCTTTGTAAGAAAACGATGCATATCTTGCACTATAATACAAGACAATAAATAAACTATCCCAAGATGGATTTATTATACCTCTGTCCTTGCTCCGTGAACAGAATATCTCCGGGACTGAGATCATCATACCGAACTCTTCTACCTAGAACAAGATAATCCAACTGTACTCTGCAATCATGCTAGAGAGGTCTAAACATTTTATCTAAAATCTGTTGTGAAAATGCTCAGTTGGTTTGTTAACGATGTTTGTTTAATTTTTCTGCTCTTTCTAGATCAAATATTGGTTTTAAAATACAACTTAAACCAATTAAAGTGTAAGAATTCTAAATCATATAAACTATCAAATTAAAGGGACTCTAACCGTAAATTCAAGTAAAGGGACTCTAACTGTAAATTCAAGTAAAGGGACTCTAACTGTAAATTCAAGTAAAAGGACTGTAACCGTAAATTCAAGTAAAGGGACTGTAACCGTAAATTCAAGTAAAGGGACTGTAACCGTAAATTCAAGTAAAGGGACTTTAACCGTAAATTAAAGTAAAGATACTGTAACCGTAAATTCAAGTAAAGGGACTCTAGCCGTAAATTCAAGTAAAGGGACTCTAACCGTAAATTAAAGTAAAGGGACTCTAACCGTAAATTCAAGTAAAGGGACTCTAAATATAAATTCAAGTAAAGGGACTCTAACCGTAAATTCAAGTAAAGGGACTCTAACCGGCAATTCAAGTAAAGGGACTGTAACCGTAAATTCAAATAAAGGGACTGAAACCGTAAATTCAAGTAAAGGGACTCTAACTGTAAATTCAAGTAAAGGGACTCTAACCGTAAATTCAAGTAAAGAGACTCTAACCGTAAATTAAAGCGAAGTGACTCTAACTGTAAATTCAAGTAAAGGGACTCTAACCGTAAATCAAGTAAAGGGACTCTAACCGTAAATTCAAGTAAAGGGACTCTAACCGTAAATTCAAGTAAAGGGACTCTAACTGTAAATTTAAGTAAAGGGACTGTAACTGTAAATTCAAATAAAGGGACTGTAACTGAATTCAAGTAAAGGGACTGTAACCGTAAATTCAAATAAAGGGACTGAAACCGTAAATTCAAGTAAAGGGACTCTAACTGTAAATTCAAGTAAAGGGACTCTAACTGTAAATTCAAGTAAAGGGACTCTAACCGTAAATTCAAGTAAAGAGACTCTAACCGTAAATTTAAGTAAAGGGACTCTAACCGTAAATTAAAGGGACTGTAACTGTAAATTCAAGTGACCCTACATGATAAGATGACAATGCCCGATTTACACCATTGAAACCAAATCTGATTAAAAATAGGAAGATACCGTCGTTTTCTAAAAGTGATTAATTCCTCCAATGCTTCTAATAAGCAAGAAATACACTAGCCGCAAATGAAAATAAATAGTTTTAAGGAACAAAAAACATGAATATCTAATTTATTCTTGATCGGACAAAGCTATAAAGGGTAACGCTATAAATTGGGTATTTCCATTTTTGCATGGAGGGTCAATTGAAATAACGCAGACAGTCCCTTTAATAGAGATTTATGATGTATGATGCCTATTACCTTGAACTACGGATGGAGTAGAGGAAGAAGAATAGACTGAGGACGGAGAAGGAAGATCTGAATCCTCATCTGACATCTCGTAACTTCTAAAATTTTAAAATTGTATCAAACAAAATGCTGTAAATCATTTTTTTTCGTTTATCAACCCGAAAGATCTTAAAATATTGCTATGGGCTTATCCAAACCCAAAACAGCATTTTTTTCAAAATCGTTTCTGCTTTTTCGAAACAAAGCGACACAATATATACAAATTATCATTCTTACGCACCCAGTTTGTAACTGTGATATTTTTAACCTCGAAATCGATTATTATTGATTAGAAGAAATTTGATTGATCCAGGGCTATCAACAAAGGATCCTTCAGACACTGTTCCTCAGATTAGTTCTTTGCTATAGTCTTACTATTGTTTTATTTCCTTGCTTAATCGTTTTTAATTATTTATAAGATGTTTTTAATGAAAAAAACAAAGTAAACCTTTAGATCATGGTTTTCAAACTCTTTTCCCAATGTATACCTGTAAGCAGGGGAGGGAGGGCGTCTGTATCCTCCCTGATGAGACGAACTGCTCCCAGGACGAAGATACATATCCTTGCTCCGTCTGGTATATGGGTCTTCTCTATCCTGGCCAATACTGGAGTTGACAGGACGAACCGAGGATTCAACTTTCATAAAACTAGATTCTCTGGAGTAGGTTGTGGAACTCGTTCTTCTTTCATCTTCCCGATCTTCGTAGTAAGCTGTCACAGTGGCAGGACGAACTGGAGAACTCCTGGTCCTACTATAGTCTTGACTAGAGCTGTAGGGAGAAGTGCTAGCAGGACGGGTTGGAGATTTAGCTCCATGTGTCCTGGAATACGAAGGATTGTTCATTTTTCTTGATTTCTCCGGGTAGCCTTGAACTCTGTTCTCCGGGTAGGCTTGAACTCTGTTCTCCGGGTGGTTGTTTTGTTTATCCAGGGCTGGCATTGATCGCCAATTTCTTCCTTTTTCAAGATTTGATTTCTTTGTCAAATGTTCAAACATTTTCTTCCGATCCTTGATGGAAACAGAGCGACAGAGTTCAATATCTTCATAATCTCCGAGACTAGATTTAACCCGCTTTTCCGGTATCTCAGGTTCAAGAGAACGGAAATCTTCTCTAGGTTTCGGAACTTCCGGCAATCGTCGTGTTTCCGTCTTTTTCAGGTTTGGCATGCTATTCCACTTTTTCCTGAAAACAAAAAGATAAAAATAGAGAAATAATGATAAATTTTCTTTAAATTTTGATTTATTTTCATACTTAATGACTGAGTTAGCTAATCTCTCCTCCTCTTCTTGAACCTGTTTCCTATATTCCTCCCAGAACCTTGCCATCGTCTTCACACTATACCCGGATACCTCAAGCTTAGGTTCAGCTGTGTAATAAACTGGGCTCTGATCCCTTTTCTCCGTAACATTTTGTTTTATATTAATCTTTAGATTATTTGGTTCGCCGCCTTTTTTGGAAATTTTTGGCTCATTTTTGGTGTAAATCCGGTCACTGAGGACAGTTTCAGACAGTGTCAGATCACTGAGGACAGTTTCTTTTTTAATTGTCAGATCTTTGCCGTAGATTTTACTTTCTCTCCTTGCATTAAGTTTATTTTGTATTTCCTCCTCTGTGGTTTTTAATGAGTCCTGGATCCCAATACCTTCGTCGGAGGAGCTACCCTCGTCCCCGACGGAGATATTTCTCCGGACTAGATCTTGTTCTCCGATAATTGCTCTTGTGTCTCCGTAGAGTACAGATTTCGGTTCTGATAAAACATTCTTGCCTCTTGCTTCTTTATTCTTGTTTTGCAGTAACACAAAATTCTTGTCTTTCGAATTTTTATTCTTGTCTGCAAGACCAGCTTTTATCTCTTTGGTTTTCGTACTATTTTCACTTGAGTTGGCTTTTTTGTCGAGGTCAGTCTTTGGAAAACCCCCGTTTCGATCTCCAAATTCTACATTTTTGTCTCCAAGTTTTACTATTTTTTCTCTGTACTCTTTAGTCCTGGTTCCAACGTTTTCAATTTTGCTAGCTTGCTCTGTAGTATTGTTTTTTACTTCCGTTTTCTTTTCTATATTTTCTTTTACTTCCGGCTTCCCATCTGTAATTTCCTTATTCTTGTTTTGAAGTTGAGTATCGGATAAAGTTGTAAACCCTGTATACTCACTGGATAAAAGTTGTTTGGTAATCAAGGTTTCTTTCTCCTCAAGTTTATAGATTGCTTCCAACCTGTTTTTATCATTCGCTTTATTTCTAATTTCTTGTTTAACTTGTTCGAAAGTATTTATTTTGTTGTTTTCCTTCAGTTTTTCCCGGGTCAGATCTTTCTGGTCAAAACTCTCAATCTCTGGGAAATCAAACCCCTGAGAGTTTATATCGGACATTAAACCATGAGTCTGGAACCCTGAACCAGGTTCAGATTTTATTCCAAGCTCGCCTTGACGTGGAGGTTTTGCAATTGGGTTCGGAATATATTTCTTCTCCGATACCGGAGTAATAATTACTGGTTCGTCTTGTTTCTCTTCTCCATCAATATTGTTTAAATCTATCGCAAAATCATCCGTATCATGCAGTATTACAGGCTTCACTACTTTCTTCTTCACAAAATGATCATGGAAGGATAAATCGTCTATTTCGTCGTTGGTATCACATTCCTCGCTCACCTCAACAATAGTGTCCATGACAAGATCTGCTGGAGTAAACTTCTCTTTGATCGATACTTCCAGAGAGCTCTCATCAGTACTGTTAGATCCTTCATCATCTTCATTCTCATGTTCTTCGTCAGAATCATAATAATCAATCTTCTCACAACTACGGGTCTCAACAACCTACAACATTAATATCTTCAATAAAACGTCCATGTTTAAAGGGAAGGGACAGTATGCGTAATTGCAATTGAACCTCCATTTCTTGAGTGACATGTACAATTAACAACTGTGCCCTATGGGTGCCCCTAAAAGTGTTTAATGAATAAGATACCCATGTTTTTAACATTAAAAATTTATAATTTTCATTTGAGGTTTCTCTATAAGAGTGACACGCGGATTTTTGCTATGGTGACAATTTGGAGAATCTTGTCAGAACTGAACTCTTTTTAAATTAGTAAACGTCTAGTAGTTGTGAATTGTAACATATATATCTAAATTAAGGAACACTTAAAGTACATCTTTCCAACTTATTCTAATGATATCAGTAATAACTTGCTATATACTAGATTTTAAAATAGTTATTATTTTGCCAATCTGGAATAGCTGGGTCAAAAATTCAAAGTTTGAAATAAAAAAGTTTACACCATCAGGTTGCAAGGATACTGGGATTAGAAAATTACGTTCATGGCGAGTAATTTCTGATTTTGCATGTTTATTGTGTACTATGCTTTTTATTCAATTTTGATCTCATGAAAAAAACAGCTTGTGAATTAAACTATCTTTAATTGCTAAGTATTTCCAATGATTGTTTTCGACATATTCTTTTACAATCTCTTTAAATAATAAGCTTAAAAGATCAAATTATGAATATAGATTTTAAAATTTTAGATGAATATCCAATTTATTAAATCTGACTGCAGCAAAAGTTGAGATGAGATTGTAAAAAAGTTTAAAACTTTAAACTCATATTATACCTATGTAAGAGAGAAAGAAATATATATTGTCTTCAGGATAAAATAATATTAAAGAATATTTTCATTATTATGTAAATATACATATTTAAGGGATGCCAGGGGGCTTCCCGCCTTGCTTTCATGTAATAAAGGAATTAAGTTTTTGCTGAAATTTTCTAATCACTGAATCTTTGCAATCTAACGGTGCAAATCTTTGATATTTAACTTTATTTTTCTACAAAGATATAGGGATTCGAAAATCAGAGATTTTGGCAAAGACTTCAACGCTTGAACAGCACTTTAACTTGTTAAAATAATTATGCTGCAAAATTTCGCAAAAATTTGTTTACTTGAGTCATATCTATTTAATAGAGCTCTTCGCCCATATAAATATATTTGTATGTTTGTTAGCTATAGCTGGCCAAACGGCTGGACCAAATTGACTGACATATTTTGAGGAAACCCTTGGGTACCCTTGGATTAAACGGCTTAACAAAATTTAAAAAAAAAATTTTCTTCAAAAATCTAACTTTTTTAAAGATCGATTTTTTTTCAAAAATCATTTTTTTCCAAATTCAATTTTAAAAAGTCAACGGGCAACGCCGGGCACTTCAGCTAGTATGTTATATACAACCCGGCCCCAAAATTTTGAGCGGATCGGTTCAGCCATTTTTAATTTGCATATTTTTGTAAAAATAGACCAGCCGAATACAAGACGCAAAGAAATGTGTATATTGAAAGAAAAATAAAATAAATGAATGATATTTTATATTTACCTCATCTAAAGAATCCTGAAAACTGATCTCACTGCTTTCTTCAATAAACTTGGTGCCCCAGGGGACCTTACTCTTGTTCTCTTCAACCCCTCTCATAGTTTCCTTACTCTCCCTTAGCTTGGATTCAGACGCAGATATCTTCACTTCCTTATCTTCTCTGTCTATTCTCTGACCTTGAGCTGAAACCTCTCCGTCATTCAACACCGATCCCTGGTTTGAGATTGTCTCTTTAGTTTTAGATTTAGTTTGGCTGAGGGAAGACCAGGTTACTTTTCCTAGCTCCAAACTATCCTCACTCTGCTCCAGGCTTAATAGAGCCTTCCCTCCCGGAGAAGGAAAATCGTCCTCATCCTCGAAATCCTAAATTTCAAGATATTATCTACATTTTTTTGTTCATGTTAACTATGATCCATGGCAACTTTTATACAATCAACGAAGGCCAAAAAGTTTTGATTTTTCATCTATAACATTGTACTGCTTGTCTGTGCAATAGAAATCAGTATAGAAAAGGAAATGAGTCTTTGCAGCAAATTTAAATTTTTCTAATTCATAGTTTGAAATATCTAAAGTCTACGGCATTGGGTTGCAAAGATATCAGGATTAGAAAATATGAGTTTGTGGCAGAACTCAATTACGTTGTCGTAATATTAGCAATGTAATTAATTAACTCACCATTTTTGCCTCAAATGTCGAAATTTTGAGACTTGTTTTTTCTTCTTGGCTTATAGAGCTCAATACCTTAATAACACAGTTTTAAATCAAATTTAGAAATAAATAAATCATTTAAATATTAAACTTATAGAAAACAAACCTGACTAAGAGAACGAACAGACTCCATGGCAGATTTTTCGTCCCAAAGACGATCTTTCTCGTAACTATCTCCACCTGAGGATTCAACCTCGAGATCCGTCCCATCTCGAGGACCGGATACTTGAACCTTGTCATTTGTCTCCAGGTTGTCATGGAAGCTGGATGAACCTGAGGACACGTCATTGGTGGATTTAAGGCTTAACTTTGGACTCTCTTGATTCTCTCTGGAGGGTGTCTTACTCCGGGATCTAGATATATTAAAAATTAAAAATAAATAAAACAAAAATCTCTGATAATGATTGAAGCCTCAACTGACCTGGGTGTCGGAATAGGTTTTTTAACTGGTCTTGATCTTGATCTTTCCTCAGTATTATTCTCTGCATTCCCTGGAGCCTTAATATCATCGGACTTAACCTTTGTAGAACCTGGACCCGGAGTTAGTTTAGAACCTTTCAATCCTTCCAGACTTTTCTCCGGAGATTCTCCGGAACTTTCCTAGAAACAATTAGAACCATGATTTATCACTAAGTTATATAAACCAATTTAAGCGTGCGTAGGGATGGGTATTAAGTTGGTTTGTTCCTTTAAACTTGTAATATTTTTCGACTTTTATAAGGTACCAAAAAATCTTTGAGGGCTGTATTCTTTAAAAGTTTGTTTATTAAACTATTCTAAATCTTTATTCTACGAGAAGCATAAGGGAAAAAATCGAAACAAAAACTATAGCTTTTGGATAGTTTCATGTTTCAATGGCTTTTTAGGACTTTCAAAGATTCCACAAACATAGCTAAAAGGTTTACATATCACATTGTATTTCCTTAATGACCCTTTACCAATTTTAAACTCTGTCAAAAAAAACATCGTTTTAAATCTATAGGTTTTGGTTAAATTTATATTTTTTCTTCGGATAAAGTTTTTGCACAGTTTTATTTAAGAAAACTTTTAACGAACACAGTTTAAAAATGTTGAAACCTTATTTTTATGGAATATTATGTTGTATTGCTTTTTAAAGTCCTAAAATCTTAGAAGAACTAACCAAGTTATTTCCCATCACTGTGTGTCGGTATGTGAGAGCAAAGTTCAAAGAAAAATTTTATGGTTTCTATTTTATTTTCATGAAACCTTTTATGATTATGAATGAAAGTACATTAGAACATTTCTAAAATTTAATAAATTGTCTTTAAAGGAATAAAGGAGAGAAAAGGAATATATGAATAAAGGTGTAAATATGTTTTTTTTGTCAATAAGACGAAAACAGGAACTTGTGTCAAAAGTGAAGGAGAGTGTATACTGGATATCTAGCTGTACTGTATCCAGGGTAGAGGAGAGTGTATCCTGGATATCTACCTGTAGTGTATCCAGGGTGGAGGAGAGTGTATCCTGGATATCTACCTGTACTGTATCCAGGGTAGAGGAGAGTGTATCCTGGATATCTACATGTAGTGTATCCAGGGTAGAGGAGAGTGTATCCTTAATATCTACCTGTAGTGTATCCAGGGTAGAGGAGAGTGTATCCTGGATATCTACCTGTAGTGTATCCAGGGTGGAGGAGAGGGTACTAAACCAACCCTGAAATTCTGGAACTGAATCTGCTCTCATAACCAGCTTTATCCGTCCTTTCTACAATCCAAACAAACTTATAAAATCAAACTTTTCAAATTTTACATTTTCATTGATAATCACATTTTTACTTCTCAACTTTAGATTTGTTTTTATAAGATTCCTTAGAGAGAAATAGAACGGGTTTCTCTGAATCCGTCCCTCCCTTCTCCTGGTTCACAATCAACCCTCGAAGTTTAAGACGAGCCGTGGGAGTCTTGGATCTAGAACAATAATTAGTTTTTGCAAAATCGAGATTATAATAGAAAGTTTTGATAATAAGCAAGCTCTTCATTTTAATGGGCAATGTAAGGAATAATCTTGAGTTCAGTTTCGTAATGCATAAATTCCATGTGAAATTAATTTGCCACACTTTTTTTCATTTTAAAATGCATGTGTAATATTCTCACCTATGGTTGGTCCAGATATACAAACCGTCTCCGACCACGGTGATATATCGTCTTTTCCACGCAGAATTAAAGGAGAGCGCAACATCCATGGGACCAGCGATAACTGGCTCTTCTGTAGGTTTCTCCAGCTTACCCTTAGAGGCTTTGTTCCTAGAACTAGGTTCGGAGTCGGGTTCAGATCTCGGAGAATCGATGGTTTCAATAACAGAGTCTCTTCTCTCCTGCTCCGACACCTCCTTCTCCAGTTCCTCAAACTCCTTGACAGAATCTCTGGCTTCAGGTTCGAGTTCAGGTTGATCTTTACTTTCTTTAGAAGAAATAACGTCAGGTTTTGCTTCAGAGTTCCCAGGTTTTGCTCCAGAGTTCTCAGGTTTTGTCTCCAATGAATGGTTTCCTGAGGAAGATACCGAGTATTTGGAGTCTATTGGAACCATATAATTCATACTTTCATCCTCTTCAGGCTTGTTCTCATCCTTCTCCGTCCTGCTTTCATCCTTCTCCTCCCTGCTCTCTATCTCCGATAATATTCTCCCCTCATCCACCTCCTCCTCCGTTCTGCTTACTTCCAGTCCTATAAAGTCGGCCCTGTCCCCCTCAACATGACTGGTTTCGTCCTCTAGGTTGGTTTGAGGACGAGTCTCCAGGATAGGACGGATATTCATCGCCTTGAATTGATGATTAATCAATGATTCTCCAACCTGTGTCTCCTCCTCGCACACCTAGCAACAAAACCGATGTTTACCTTTTAAAATGTCGAGGAGTTAATTTTGCAAGTAGCAGAGAAAAGATATTTCTAATAAAACATTTTCTCCTTTCTCTTCATTACCGAAACAATTAACACTTTATAAGTATCCAACATGTCTATATTTAAATGAAAACAATGAAGGACGGAGAAAGGTGAGTCAGAGAAGCTTTTAAATGATCTTTCATGAAAAATTTGTGACATCACAATTTTCTGGAGAGTCTGTTTTGTAGAAATCCATGCTTAGTTTATCTTTATGTACCGTTCAGAGTAGCTAAATATAGCTCCCCATAAACATGAAGGGTAACTAAAACTAGATTAAAAATTCAAACAAATTATTTCACTCTTTTAAGAAAAATCCTTAACCTTTATTTAGAAGAATTAAAGGTTTAAAAAAAGTTTAAACTTATTTTAATCTATTATAAAAGGTTCAGTTTAAGCAGATTTTAATGTTGAAATTAAACATATTTTTACAAAGGGTGTAAAGATGATAATTAGCTAATGTATACACCAGACACCAAATAGCAGTGCTTATTTCTGATATTTAAATATTTGCATATATATAGATATAAAATAGATCGAGCTCTGAAGAAATAATTTTGAGTAACTCTTCATTAAAAGTGGCATTTCTGATTCTGCAAAGAGATACCCTTTTAACAATTTCCGTTGGGTAATAATAGGGAAGATGTAATTTTTTTCTCTTAAAATGTTTTAGAGTTACCCATCTTCATTGTTCTTCTACTGCAAGTCACTTTAACAGATAAATTGAACACTATTGTAAACTATATCAATTTTGTACTGTACTGTACTGTACTCTACTCTACTCTACTCTACTCTACTCTACTCTACTCTACTCTACTCTACTCTATTCTACTCTACTCTACTCTACTCTACTCTACTCTACTCTACTCTAGAAGTAAATTTAAAGTGTACCTGTACTGCATCTCCAGGTTCAGAACCAGCGTGTGTACTCCAGTTCCAGGATACAAGATCTGAATCTGTCAGAGCGCCTAGAATACGAGAATGCAAAATCAGAATCTATTAGACCACCAAGAATACAAGCATAAAAGATCTGAATCTGCCAGAGCGCCAAGAATACAAGAATACAAGATCTAAATCTGTCATAGCACCTAGAATACAAGAATACAAGATCAGAATCTATTCGACCACCTAGAATACAAGAATACAAGATCAGATCTAATAGGCCGCCTAGAATACAAGAATACAAGATCAGAATCTATTAGACCACCTAGAATACAAGAATACAAGATCAGAATCTAATAGACCGCCTAGAATATAAGAATACAATATCAGAATCTAATAGACTGCCTAGAATACAGGAATACAAGATCAGAATCTAATAGACCGCCTAGAATACAAGAATACAAGACCAGAGCCTATTAGTGCTCCTAGAATACAAGAATAAAATCACGCAAAAATATTACAACTTTTTTTTAAGGAATTATAAAATTATCATCGAAATAGAAATGTGATTATTTGAAAAGACAGAATAAAGTTTTAAAGATTAACGATTTTTCAACTTAATCTGGGATTATATAATTCCATTGGTAGTGCAGGGTTCATTTCCCCTTCTCCAATTATTTTCTGATCAAGTACTTTCAAGACTAGTCCTGCCTCCTATACCCCAGTCTTAAACTAGGATGAAGTAACTCCAAGGTTGGTTCTGACTCCTATACCTGGATTAAACTGGGATAAAGTGTCTTCAAGTTTAGTTCTGACTCTTATACCCGGATTAAGCTGGGATGAAGTAACTTCAAGGTTGGTCCTGACTCTTATACCTGGATTAAACTGGGATGAAGTAACTCCAAGATTGGTCCTGACTCCTATACCTGGATTAAACTGGGATGAAGTAACTCCAAGGTTGGTCCTGACTCCTATACCTGGATTAAACTGGGATAAAGAATCTCCAAGGTTGGTCCTGACTCCTATACCTTGATTAAACTGGGATAAAGTAACTCCAAGGTTGGTCCTGACTCCTATCCCTGGATTAAACTTGGATGAAGTAACTCCAAGGTTGGATCTGACTCCTATACCTGGATTAAACTGGGATAAAGTAACTCCAAGGTTGGTTCTGACTCCTATACCTGGATTAAACTGGGATGTAGTGTCTTAAAGGTTGGCTCTGACTCCTATACCTGGATTAAACTTGGATAAAGTAACTCCAAGGTTGGTCCTGACTCCTATACCTGGATTAAACTGGGACGAAGAATCTCCAAGGTTGGTCCTGACTCCCATATCTGGATTAAACTGGGATGTAGTGTCTTAAAGTTGGCTCTGACTCCTGTACCTGGATTAAACTGGGATGTAGTGTCTTAAAGGTTGGCTCTGACTCATGTACCTGGATTAAACTGGGAAAAAGTATCTCCAAGGTTAGTTCCGACTCCTATATCTGGATTAAACTGGGATGTAGTGTCTTAAAGGTTGGCTCTGACTCCTGTACCTGGATTAAACTGGGATGTAGTGTCTTAAAGGTTGGCTCTGACTCCTGTACCTGGATTAAACTAGGATGAAGTAACTCCAAGGTTGGTTCTGACTCTTATACCTGGATTGTATTGGGATGAAGTATCTCCAAGGTTGGTTCTGACTCCTCTATCCTCTCTACCAGGGAACCCTGTAACCTCTTGGAGTTCCTCCTCAGGACTGAAGGAAGCCAAGCAATTTCAACCAAGGGAGGGATTAATCTTCCAATATTATAATCAAAAATTAAAATATTTTTTAAGAAATGCTTTTTTATGTTTTTTTTTAATGTTGTAAAATTCTCATGAAAAAATGAAAAAAAACAGAAAAAAAATGTTGAGAATTTTTTTTAAGATCTGCCGTTTTTGGATTAGTAATTGTAGCTTCCCTTGCAATATATATCGGATTCTGGTTATAGTTGTTTTGTAAACCAGCTTCTTCATATACAGAGGTTTCTGTTAGTTTAGGAGTAGATCGGAATATATTCTTTAGTTTCTTCAAGGGATTTTTTATACTCTTCCTCTTCGTCTTAAGGTTGGGTTTAAGCTCTTCTCCGGAGTAAAGGTTTGGATGTGAGATTGATAATCTGAAACAATTTCAGGAATTGACAACATTTAGTTTAACCAATACTCTTGAAAATTCACGCACTTCTTTTAATTTTGCAAATAAGATAGTGATAAAAGTGGTTTAGTAAGCTTGCTGAAATATGCACGGTCCGGGGCAAAAATCAATTAGGATTTTTCCAAAAACTGAATTTGAAAAATGCGCTCTGAATATTAAATGCATAGTTTACAAAGCTGCGAATGTCAGTTCTTAATGTAGATGATGGTTGTTATTTACCCATGGTTTCACAAAATATTTGATTAAAAGTCTTTACTTCTTTATCTCTGAGAAAAACTAAAAACTCAGAAATCATTATTGAAAAGCGGAAATCATATTAGAATGTTATCATTAAAAAGTTGAATAATTACCTGGAGTGTAAAGTATCTGATGAATGATTAGGATCAATACTCACAACATCTCCGTTCAAGCTTTCATTAGACACGGAGAACCTTTTCTTCTTTCCAAGCATCGTGCTCAGTCCTGATCCGTCCGGGATATCAGATTCAGATCCAGATCCTTCCGGGATATCAGATTCAGATCCGTTCGGGATATCAGTTTCAGGCCCTGAATCGTCTGGGATTTCAGCTTCAGATTCCAATATGTCCGGGATAACAGATTCAGATCTTAATCTGTCCTGGATGTCAGCTTCAGCTCCTAATATGTCTGGTATATCAGATTCAGGTCCTGATCCGTACAGGGCATCAGTTTCAGATTCTGGTCTGTCAGGGATATCACTTTCTGATCCTGATCTGTCCGGGATATCAGATTCAGGTCCTGATATGTCCGGGATATTAGAATCAGGTCCTGATCCGTCCGGGATGTCAGCTTTAGCTCCTGAAATGTTCGGGATATCAGATTCAGGTCCTGAACCGTCCGAGATGTCAGCTTTAGCTCCTGATATGTCCGGGATATTAGAATCTGATCCCGATCTGAGCTGGATCTCAGTTTCAGACCTATTTCTAAATGGGATTTCAAATTCAGATTTTATTCTCTCGGTCTCAGATTCACATTCAACCTCTCTGCGCTTTGAAGTAATTTGATTGGACTCTACTGAATATGAATTTATGTTCTCAATATGTTTATCTTCAGCATCAGTCTGTGTCCCTAACTGCTCTATAACTACATCACTGGTATATTCAATGGTGTCACTGGAAGTATTTGAAAGCTTTGTTAACTCATCTTCAAATACATCATCATACTCCTTGCTGTATACGGTTGGAGTTTCTAAACTATCACTGTCTGTATATTTTTCACAGGGTTCAATAACAGAGTCCTGAAGCTTGGGTTGTATATGAATATAAACAGGATCCGTATCTAAACTCTCAATGTTATCATCACTAGTGTTAGAGTTAACAGATAGTTTTTCACATAATTCATTTTCTTCACTTTTTCCCAGATTTATATCACGATGTTCCTCTGATATAACTGTACACGGAGAATCAAGACGATCTGAATCACTTTCCTCAGACAACTCTAAGGATTGATGCTCATGGTTCTCATTAAACTCAAGGAAATCTTCAAACTCAGTTTCAGGATCGGAGTCAAGATCAGGTTCAGGGTTATCTCTTTCAGATCCGCTCTCTACGGAGAAGTAATCAGTCTCACTCTCAGAGCACTTTGGGTATTCTTTGCTAGTTAAACTGATGGTATTTTTGCCGTGATCTCGGAGAGTTTCACTGCTCAGCTCAGACGCTGTTATGGAGTTTAAACTTGTTCGTCTTGCACCGTTGGGGTTCAAACTGCTCGGTACCAAATACAAACTTTACATATTTTTTTCAATGGATTATGAACAGGAGGGATTTTTGTTTATTATAAACAGGACGGATTATTGTTCATTATGAACAGGGGGGATTATTGTTTATTATGAACAGGAGGGATTATTGTTTATTATGAACAGGACGGATTATTGTTCATTATGAAAAGGGGGATTATTGTTTATTATGAACAAAGGGGATTATTGTTCATTTATGAACAGGGGGATTATTGTTTATTATGAACAGGGGGGATTATTGATTATTATGAACAAGGGAATTATTGATTATTATGAACAGGGGGGATTATTGCTCATTTTGAACGGGGGATTAATGTTTATAATGAATAAAGGAGGTTATTGTTTTTATGACGNGTATTATTGTTTATTATGGTTAGGGGGTTATATTGTCTTGTATTTGCCTGACAGTATCCAGAGAGAGGATTGAACCTGGATCTGAAAATATATAGAAACTTGATTGTCCGACTTTATAACGTATATTTTCATAATCCTGTCCAATACTTCCTGTACTTCCTTTCCTTCCTGTACTCCCACTACTCCTAGTAGTACTCCCTGTACTCCCTGTACTAAATGCACTCCCTGTACTCCCCAACCATGAGAATCTATTGGATATTGTCTTGCTGGACTCTCGTCCCAAGGTTGCAAACTTGGAACTCATAGATTTAGGTTTGAATGAAGTTGGGCGGACGGTTGCATCTGATAATGATTGAGTTCTTCTTACAGCAATTGATCCTGGTAACTTTTCCTTTACTGATCTCAGTCTTATTTCAGTTTGTTTATCTCTCTCTCTGATCGTTACTTTTATAGTTTCTGCTTCCATTCTATTTGAAATTCCTATTTCTGGTTCTTTTCTCAAATATGTTAGGCGAGAGTTATCAGGTTTTATTTCTATTGGTTGAGCAATAACAGGAATATCTGTGGTCGTCTTTCTCCGAAACCTCTTGAAATAACTGGTATTTAGATTTGGCAATAGTTTCTGTTTCTTTTTCTCCTTTTCCTTGTGTTCTACGTTAAATCCGTCCGGTACATCCCCCGGGTTGGATTGTCTTCTAATTGTTTTCAGAATTGATGGAACTTTAAATCTTTTTATTCGTTTCATCTGTTTTATTTCTATATTCTCATCCATCTCACTTTCAGAGGTTGTTAAACTTGCTCTGGGTTGGGTGGGATATAAAGAACCATGGGTATTCACTTTCTTTTCATTAGGACGAATTGGAATTCTCTCAATGTCATTTGGGTTTCCTTTCTCTTTTATATTCTCATCAATGTTTTGTTTGCTACTCTTCGGAGAAACTGAAATACACCCGGTTTCTGTGTTGTATGCGTGTTCAAGGTCGTCTTCTGAACTATTCCAATCTTCCTCCTCGCTCTCAGTTTCTTCAGGACCCGGAGCAATACTATCCTCGACCTCCTCCTTCTTACTCAGGGTTGGAGAAGGATTCTGGAACCGTTGCTGTTCAGAAACAGCCACTAAGTTTAGTTCATTGAACGTTTCAAGATTTAGATAATATTTAAAATTATATTTCTAACTCAACCTTCACACACAAAAATAAACACAGTTTAAATTTTTCTCATTGTTAAAGTACTCGTATTAAAAATTCATATCTTTAAGGATAGATATGTTTGTATATCTGTATAGTCACATATATATTTAAAGCGGAAATCTATGTTTGTTTTTTTGTATCTCCGATCATAACAATCCTGTCACCGATTAGCCTAAAACTTTGATTGGGGAACTTGGCAGAATCACCGGAATGGCTTTGGTTTGAGTAAGTTGACTTTTATAGAAAAAGTTTAGTTCCAGACAAAGCTGAGTTCCGGAGCTAGTGTATTTTACATCTATATACATAATGTATACATTCATATATGTATATATATATATATATATATGTATAATCAATTTAATAATCAATCAAAAAAACAAATGATTTAAAGATAGATAGATAGATAGATAGATAGATAGATAGATAGATAGATAGATAGATAGATAGACAGACAGACAGATATATAGATAGATAGATAGACAGATAGATAGATAGATAGATAGATAGATAGATAGATAAATAGATAGATAGATTGATTGATAGATAGATAGATAGATAGATAGATAGATAGATAGATAGATAGATAGATAGATAGATATGACAGATTTCTGTGCAATTTGATTAAAGGTATTTTAGTTGTAAAATGAATGAAAATTAGCTTTGAACAGCAACAAGAGGACTTGAACAATTTTGAGATAAAACCTATTAAAAAGTTTTGACAAAATTGTGCAAATATTCTCAAATTATAATCTAAAAGCTCCTTTTGTCTAAAATATGAAAACTTGTTTTCTTAACTTTGCTTAAACTTTGTAAACCTAGTTTAAACAGACTTTAACAATATTTACAATATCAGGAATATATTATAGGTATTTTATACTTAAATCTCAAAATACATGCATTTGAAGCAAGTAAATTTGTTCATGGTACGAACCTCCTTTTCATACTGTTTCTGCTTCGTGTCTTAAATTTACAACGCGCTTGTTGGAAGATTCAGCTTAAGAGGAATAATTTGCAAAATCCTAAAATATTTATTTGGTTAAAAGCTTGCACATTTTGATTTTCTGTGGCGCTCTGTAGTTAAACCTGAGATAGAATTTAAAGAATTTGAGCCGCGGTTTAAATCCGCCAAAACCCGGTTTAAATTAAGCGCCGGCTTAAATCTTGAAACATTTTATACAATTTTAAGTGGAACCAACCATATTTAAGCCGCGGCTTAAATTTAAACCGCCGCTCAAATTCTTTAAATTCGGCCACCGGTCACATTTTTTATGGACATTTTCCGAGAGATGGTCTTGGCTGAACAAGATTAAAAATGTCCCAAAAATTTTGATCTGAGAAAATTGTCCCAAACTGTAAAAGTTCAAATTTTACAAAAAGATTTCCTACCACCTAGTTTTCTGTATAATAAATAAAAAATATCAGAATATGTTTATACACATATATTCTAAATAGTATAAATTGAATAAATATTCTAATAACTATCAATTGAAAAAAGGATATTACTGAAATGCATTAAGATACTAGCTTGGGAATCCAGCTTTGTCTGGAAAGTAAACTTTCCCTTTAAAAGTCAACCCATTCCAATTAGAACTTGAAAACCATGCTTAAGAACATTTCCGTGGTTCTATCGAGTTCCTTAATCACGACTTAAGGCAAATAAGTCTCGGGGTGTCTGAGTTATGATCGGGACAGACAAATAGAGATACTACTTTGTATAGAGATATATATATATATTCTTATAACTGTTTACTAATTGAAGTATATTACTGAACTGAATGAAAGGTAAAAACTGAAATATAAAATTAGAAACCATATAGTTGGCAGTAGTTGGTAAACATGGCAGGATAATAATATTGATAATTATACGGATATACAACTCAAGGGGAACACATGAAAGGAGATATACAAGAGAGAGGAGGCTAAACGTATTAAGCGATTATATAGAAAATGTTAAACCTTTTACCTAAACTATATCTTTCAAACAAGCGCCTTCATACATTATTCATCAAACCTTCCTGTACCTTTCCTATTCCTCCCCTACACTCATCCAATACTTTTCTACTTCGCTGTGCAAACAGAATTTTAGCAATTAAAACATTGTTATAAATATATAGACGGACATTTTTTTACCGAAATAAAACACCATAGAGTTTTCACTGGTATTGAATAAATCATTTTAGACATTTTATTTGGTATTTTATCAGTATTAGTCCACGCGGGATATAAATCATTTGGCGGGCAATAAAGGGACAGTGCAATAAAAAGGATAAAAAGGTTTAAAAGTGTTTAAGAAAACTTATTTGAGACAACACCATTGTACAAACTGTACTTAGCACTGCATTAACATTTCTCGTTAATAAATACAACCTGAAAAATTGATGTTAAAATTTTTTTATAATCTTATCGTTCTAGTGAAGTGTCCCATTAATAAACCAAGGTTTGGAGACATCACGGAGATAAAGGGAAACACCGCTAATTTCCCGTCATACTCATAAACTTGATTACTGTGGGAGAATTGATGATATATAGATGGAAAGATGGATAGATAGATAGATAGATAGATAGATAGATAGATAGATAGATATAAGGATAGATAGATAGAGAGATAGAGAAATAGATAGTTAGATACATAGATAGATTAAGGGATAGATGGATAGGTAGAAAGATAAGGTTGATATTTGATATATAAGAGTAGAATGTCATTGAAGGTTATTGCGAATACCATACTGCTGTATTGACATAATATATATTTATAATGTTATTTATGAAGTAGAAATTGATATTCAATATACAGTATACATATTGGTTCCTCCAGGCACTTTTATAAAAGAATTAAATTTAAAATTTTTTGTGATTTTCAAAAAAAAATTGGTTTTTGAATAGAATAAAATTAAATTATTTCTCTACACTGACAACCAGAAAACTGCATGATAAGAAGACGACATTAAAGCAAAACTGAAATGCATTTGATGTCGTTACTAAGCAAATAGTTTTAAAATTAAGTTATCAAATAAGTAATTAGGTGAAATGGGTCTGTTTACACCGCAAAATTGATGTGTCTTATGTACTTTGAACTATTTAAAGTCATAACTTGAGCCTAAAGGTCGACTTCCTATTCCAGAGTTTCCTGGTTTTAACCTGAACTCTGTAAATTCATTATTCGGTGGTCGGCGTTTTTATCAATACAATGAAGATGACTTTTTTATCTTAGTTTTGAGTTCTAACATTTTTTCTTCAAATTACAAGTTCTCAAGTAAACAAATAGAAGCTGTGATAGCTTCTCTTTGTTTTCATTTTTATATGTCTCAGAAATTGAAATCGAAAGTCGTCTTAATTTTATGGATATATACGACGACGAGTGTATAAAAACCATATCCCACGTGTAATATTTACATTTTTAATTAAAGTTCTGCATATTTACTTAGGAATGAACTAAACCTAAATTGATGTTTGAAGAATTGTCGCGAATTCTCTTTCTGTCGATCACAGCGCTTAAATCTTTAACTCTTTCGACATTTTCTTCGACATCTTCTGATTCAACAGAAACTTGTTTTCCTGGGTTGTCATTTATTATTTCTCCGTTTTGATTCTTTTCCTCATTATTTTTAAATTCTTCTTTGCTCTTGTTATTTTGTTCTTTTCTTCTTTGGTACTTATCTTCCTTGTCTTCTCTGTAGAGAAGATTTTGTAGATTTTCTACAACTTCCGAATATTCAGAAAACTTGTCTTTGGCTTCCTCAGAAATATTTTCATTTTTGTCTCTTTCCGATTCTTCTTTTGGATTCTGTTCTTCTCTAGAAAATACATTTTCCTTCATATTTTTGATATTGTCTAAATCCAAGAATTCCTCTTTGAGTTTGGTTTTGTCAACAGCATTTTCATCTTCTTTATCGTTGAATCTTTGATTATTTTCTGCATTTTCTTTGTCAACCTTTTCAAGATTGTCAGAATGTTTCATGGTTTCAGATTCCAAAGTTTCAAAACAAAGAAAGGTAGCACATTCACCTTTCTCATATTCTAGGATGTTATCAACTGGGTCTACTTTATAATTTTCAGCTGATAAAGCAGTGAGATCGTCTGTCAGGACTTCCTTATTTGAGCTGGAACTTGATCGTATTTCCTTATGATGATTCATAGATTGTGATTTTGTTTCACATTGGAGTTCTTGATTTAGTTGATATCCTGATTCAGTTTTCTGATACCCGTAAAACCCCGGCTCAAATCCTGAATTTGATTCTCTTTCATTTATTTCCGCATTTTCCTGATTTGAATTTGATTCTGATTTAGTTTCTAGGAATTTTATGTGATCTCTTTGATTTGAACTAGATCTCGATTTGACTTCCTGATCTTTACCAAGATATGTCTGATCTTCAAGTTGATGTGTAACTTGATTTGTAAGTTGATATGAAAGTTGATATGAAGGTAGATCTGTAGGTTGATCTGTAAGTAGATCTTTAAGATGATCTTCAAGTTGATCTTTATGTTGATCTTCAAGTTGAACTTCAAGTTGATCTTTAAGTTGATCTGTAAGTTGATCTTCATGTTGATCTTTAAGATGATCTGCAAGTTGAACTTTAAGATGATCTTCAAGTTGATCTTTATGTTGATCTTTAAGATGATCTTCAAGATGATCTTCAGGATGATCTTCAAGATGATCTTCAAATTGATCTTCAAGTTGATATTCAAGTTGATCTTCAAGATGATCTTCAATTTGATCTTCAAGTTGATCTTCAAGACAATCAAAGAAATCATCACTTTCACCTCGAACATTCCTGGATTCTCCTTTTACTTTTATAGAATTATTATCATTAGTAATTTGTACGGTATTATCCAGTTTTTTAGACTCTTTTGGTGTTTGTTCCTCAAAGATGTCAAATTCATCTTGATCTGCTTTTAGTGATTCCTGAATTTTAGTTGTTTTATTTTCTTCCAGTGTTTTCTGATTTCTAGTGATTTCAGCATGATCTTTTTTCAGTAATTCCTGATTTGGATTGAATACACTATGATCCGCTTTCAGTGTTTCCTGTTTCATATCAGTTCCATCATGATCTTCTTTCACAATTTCCTGATTTATATTGATAACATGACAATCATTGTTTAGTGTTCCCTGATTTATAATAATTCCATCAAGATTTTCTTCCAGTGCTTCCTGATTTATGTTTATTTTATTATGATCTTCTGGTGGTTCTTCAAAGTTCATAATAGCTATATTAGTTTTTCCTTCAGATATTTCCTGAGTTATTGTAATATTCTCCAATACTTCTTTTGGATTATGTTCAAAAGAAGTTTCTTGAAGATCCTTGACAAATTCAGGATTATGGTTTGAGTTATTTAATTGGATCGAATCAAGATTTCTTATCAAGATGCCATTCATTTCTTCCTGTTTCTGGTTTTCATCCTGTTGTTCATTTTTGCTGCTTCTCACTTTTGAATCTTTTATCGTGATTAACAATGTCAATGATTCTGGTTTTTCCCTTTTTATCATATTCCCCTCCGTTTCAACATCTTCCTCTTTATTCTTTAGATTACATGAACCCAACGGTCCACTGATTTCTTGACACGTGCCTGACGCTGAAGTTGCGTGAATCTGTGGATGCGCAGAAGTTGCGTAGATATTCGTTGCGAGATTTTCCGCATGAACAGATAATTCTTGTTCCTGAGTAAATTCAAATTCTTGTTTTAATTCTTCAACCCTTATTAAACTTATAATTTGATTATTCATCTTCAAATAATTAATTGTTTAATCTAACAATAGAGTTCAATTTTAGTTTAATTAGTCAATTAATTAAAATGATCCTTGAAATACACCAAAAACTGAATAGAAGGGCCTCGACCATCCATTGAAATTAAAATGGACCCACAATGTTTTGAATATAAAATTGGCCCACAATGTGTTGAATATAAAATTGGCCAAAAATGTATTGAATATAAATTTGGCCCACAATGTATTGAATATATAATTGGCCCACAATGTATTGAATATAAAATTGGCCCACAGTGTATTGAATATAAAATTGGCCCACAATGCATTGAATGTAAAATGGGCCCACAATGTATTGCATATAAAATGGACCCACAATGTATTGCATATAAAATAGGCCCCCAATGTATTGAATATAAAATGGGCCCACAATGTATTGAATAAAAAATAGACCCACAATATATTGAATATAAAATGGGCCCACAATGTATTGAATATGAAATGGACCCACAATGTATTGAATATAAAATGGCCCACAATGTATTGAATATAAAATGGGTCCACAATGCATTGCATATAAATTGGACCCACAATATATTGAATATAAAATGGGCCCACAATATATTTAATATAAAATGGGCCCACAAAGTATTGAATATAAACTGGACCCACAATGTATTGAATATAAACAGTACACTTACTAAAAATGGTTCTCAAAATCAGCTGATTCGAATATTATTTTCGTAATTTTCTAAACATGAAAAAGGCCCTCAATTGATTATGAATCAAACCGTCCTCTTATTATTATATAAATTGCTCATATCAATTCTAAATGTTTGTAACAGATAAGTTATCGCTAAAATAAAGAATTTAAATTTCCTGAGTTAATATATTTGTAGCTTTTTTTTCGGGAGCATTTTCTTTTCCTTGGACGCACTTCATCTGTTCTAATTCAAGACAGCTTCTGCTGCTTTTTTGAAGATTTTGAAGATTTTCTTTTGGAGCTTTTTCCGAAGCTACTTTATGGATCTTTTTTGTATTTTGGACCTTTCCCAGATTTTCTCCTTGGATAGTTTCTATATCTTCTTGTTCAACCTTTTCTATATCTCCTTCTTGAACCTTCTCTATATCTCCTTCTTGGATGTTCTTTATATCTTCTTCCTGAACCTTCTCTATTTTCTCTATATCTCCTTCTTGGATTTTCTTTATGTCTTCTTCTTGAACCTTCTCTATATCTCCTTTTTGAACCTTTTCTATATCTTCTTTTTGAACCTTTTCTATATCTCCTTCTTGAACCTTCTCTATATCTCCTTCTTGGATTTTCTTTATGTCTTCTTCTTGAACCTTCTCTATATCTCCGTCTTGAACCTTTTCTATATCTTCTTCTTGAACCTTCTCTATATCTGCTTCTTGAACCTTTTCTATATCTTCTTCTTGAATCTTCTCTATATCTCCTTCTTGGATTTTCTTTGTGTCTTCTTCTTGAACCTTCTCTATATCTCCTTCTTGAACCTTTTCTATATCTTCTTCTTGAACCTTCTCTATATCTTCTTCTTTACCCTTCTTCATATCTACTTCTTGGTCCATTTGAACCTTCTCTATATCTCCTTCTTGGATGTTCTTTATGTCTTCTTCTTGAACCTTCTCTATATCTCCTTCTTGGATGTTCTTTTTATCTTTTTCTTGAACCTTCTCTATATCTCCTTCTTGGATGTTCTTTATATCTTTTTCTTGAACCTTCTCTATATCTCCTTCTTGGATGTTCTTTATATGTTTTTCTTGAACCTTCTCTATATCTTCTTCTTTAACCCTCTTCATATCTTCTTCTTGTTCCTCTTGAACGTTCTCTATATCTTCTTCGTTAACTCTCTTCTATATCTCCTTCTTGGATGTTCTTTATATGTTTTTCTTGAACCTTCTCTATATCTTCTTCTTTAACCCTCTTCATATCTTCTTCTTGTTCCTCTTGAACGTTCTCTATATCTTCTTCGTTAACTCTCTTCATATCTTCTTCTTGGTCCTCTTGAACCTTCTCTATATCTCTGTTTGGGATTTCCTTTATATATTTTTCTTGAACCTTATCTATATCTCCTTTTTGGATTTCCTTTATATCCCCTTCTTGAACCTTCTCTGTATCTCCTTCTTGAGCCCCTTCTATATTTTCTTTTTGAACCTTCTCCATATCTCTTTCTTGAACCTTCTCCATATTTTTTTCTTGAACCTTATCTATTTCTTCTTCTTGAACCTTGTCCATGTTACCTTCTTGATTTTTCTCCATATATTCTTCTTGAATCTTCTCTATACCTTCTTCTTGAATCTTCCCAATATCCCTTTCTTTAACCTTCTCCATGTCTCCTTGTTGATCCTTCTCGTTATTTAATTCGTGTACCATCTTCTCCATAACCTTCTCTAGACATTCGTTTTGAACCTTCTTCATATCCTCACTTATTTCGATCTCTTCCCCTTCTGCTGTTTCCACTTGCTGCATCTCTACTGTTCCCACCTTCTTCATCTCTCCTGTTTCCAACTGTTGCATTTCTTCTGTTTCCACCTGCTGCATCTCCCCTGTTCCCACCTCCTTTATTTCTCCTGTTTCCACCTGCTGCATGTATCCTGTTTTCACCTGCTCCATCTCTCCTGTTTCCAACGCTCCCATTTCTCTTGTTTCCACCTGCTGCATGTCTCCTCTTCCCACCTGCTCCATCTCCCCTGTTTCCACCTGCTCCATCTCTCCTTTTATCTCCTGTTGTGTATCCTGCATTGAACCTGTTGTTGGAGTAAAGGATGAAAAGTTTCCTGAGAATCTTCTCCAAAGTTTGTTCTCCTTCATGTTTAAACTGGTCGCAGAGGATCTAAATATTGTCAGTTTTCATTACAGGACTCATATCTATCTATCTATCCACCTATTTATCTATCTATCTATCTATCTATCCTTCTATCTATCTATCTATCTATCTATCTATCTATCTATCTATCTATCTATCTATCTATCTATCTATCTATCTATCTATCTATCTATCTATCTATCTATCTATCTATCTATCTATCTATCTATCTATCTATCTATCTATCTATATATCTATCTATCTATCTATCTATCTATCTATATAATTTATCTATCTATCTATTCTATATATCTATCTATTTATCTATCTGTCTATTTTTCTCTCTTTCTATAAATCCATGTATAAAATATTTCTATATCTTTATATTTGTCTATCTATCTATTTAGCTAGTTATGCGTCTATCAATCAAATCACCTTGAAATATTTAATTCCCAGATTAAGTAAGATAAACTAACCTAAAATCAGGTTCAGGTTTTGTCCTAATATCCGCTCCGCTGAACGAGAATCTTTTCCAGATCTTAGTTTTCTCCGTCTTTTCTTCCTTCTCCGTCTTATCCTCCTTCTCCGTCTTCTCCTGGTCCTTTCCGTCCTTGGAGAAGAAGGATTTAAACCTGGAGAGTTTATCTGGTTTCGTCTCCGTAATATTGATTTCAGCTTCATGTAAATTCTTCTCATACTCTTCCTTTGTTTTGAAACTGAGAGAGTAAAGTGTAAAGCTCGCGGGAAATATGTTAATAACAATTTTGCACGTGTATGTGTGCAATTTAAGAATGGATGCCCCCCGATTATTAAATTGAAAATTCAGATCCAATATATTAATTCTCTTTGTTTGAACCCATAATCTAATATAGAGAATTGTCTTCTCATATAACGAGGAAAAGAATTATTACCAAGATGAAAATAAAATGTCTCATTCTAGAATTTAAACGTGAAATGAAATGAAATTTACAAATTCTAAATGGAGGTTGGATGTGATAAAATAAAAGATTTAACATTTAATAGGTTGTAAACTGAATCAAGGAAAATTTTCATCTGCTCAGAAAAATGTGGAAGATTTTTCAGAGCTAAAATCTTTAGAATTGTGGATATTGAGATCAATGATTGATCGCCTCTTTTTATTAATCTCAAGATTAATTTAATCTTTAGTTTATTATAAGAAAAGTCTGTGACATTTAACCAATCAGAGTGGCGTATGTAGAATCCAGAACAGCCATTCAGAATCCGGGAAATTTTAAATTTTATTAGAGAACTCTCATCCGGTAGAGATATCCAAAAAGAGGTGATTAATAAGAAATCAAAAGTGTCCACAGTGGATTTTCAGCGATCGATATAAAGGGTATCCAATTCAAAAGTTTTCATCTCAAATTCATGGATTTTTTTGACAAAAAGGGATTGCTTAGCTTGCCAAAAAATCCGCGGAGAGAGTTGATCAATTATTTGGCAGGAAAACAAAAAAAAGTATGTTAAGATTTCTCTTTAAAGGGATTGTCGTTTTAATTTCAAGTAACCCTACATGTAAAGAAGGCCAGACGCGATTTACAATGGTACCTTTTAAACCTTCATCTAATCCTTAATGGGGAAGAAATCGTCGGGTTTTTAGCATAAAAAGTGTCAATTCTTACATTTCCCTCCATTGTTATTGTAGCAAGAAATCCACTAGTCACTTCAATAGATAATTCAATTCAAAATTTAAATTTAATTTAAGTGGAGATGGTCACTAGAAATATCGTATACAGTCCCATTAAGATATTTATTTTCTGTTAGATCTTATTATTCGCCAGCTTTGGAACCCAGCGTTGCCCAGGGTACTTATAGTTGGTACGGCCGTTAACCCTCACTTTGCCTTGGTGGATTTTACAGGGAAACTAGATTTTAGAATTGGAATCTCAAAACCATGCTAAGAACATTTCCGTGGTTGTCCCGAGTTCCCTCATCAAAATTTGAGGCAAATCGGTCTAGGAGTTCATCAGTTAAGATCGGAAAAATAAACAGACAGACAGAGATTACTACTTTATATATAGAGATGCTTTCACTTTAATCCTGTGCCTGACATAGGACGGATTCCCTCGTCTAGCAAGATTCTTGATATCAGCTTCAACCTTCTCCGGACTAGACTCTGGGACTGCAGAAGGATCAGAACCAGCTGCAGACTGCTGATCAAGAACGTCTGTAAATTCAACCCGAACCTCCTCCTTGAAACTTACTTTCTTCTTCAGGTTTACTTTGATCCCGGACCCATCTAAAAATATTAAATGTAAAAAATAAATTTGCTGCAACATCATTTAATAGATACCACAGACAAAGATAGACACTCAGCCAACTCATCTCACGAAACCTCGATTCCAAGAGGAAGTGGGGTTCATACAGTACAAATACTGCAGAGTCTGCAGGGGGTTGTTTAATCTTCGATTTTTGCATATATTTAGATCATATATTTAGTAGGTATTCTGCCGGCGTACACATCAACATTAATTGATGAGAGATATATTGATATTTTCCCCTAAAAATGTATTCAAATATAGAAAAGTAAACAATGGAAACACTGGAAAAATACCTTGTTTTTAAGTATACTCCACACAAACAACCCAAATTTTTCTAAAATAAGGAAGTAAATAAAGAGAACACTGGAAAAAAAAACTTGTTTTTAAAAATGTACGTACACAAACAACCCCAATTTTTCTGAAATTGTTACAGTTTTGACCAGCTTCCCTGCTGTACTCAGTACACTGAACCTTTATGAATATCTACTCTGTGATAGATATTCACAAAGGATAATATATATATATAAATATATCTCAATGTCATAGATTTGTTAATTAAGAAATAAAAAATTTAACAGATGAAAATTTAAAAAAATCAAGAAGACTGAATAAAATAATTAGATTCGTCTCTGAGGTCTAATCCTTAAAGATCGAAACTTTTGAGTTTTGAGTGTGAGGTGTTCCAATCCAATTTTCACGACACTGAAATTATCTTTAAAACTTCGATTCTTAACACAATTCTGAATTCCTTTTGCGCAAGAAGGGTTCCAGCGAAAAGGAAAAATTGTTACGAAAATTTCGCATTTATCACGAAATTTTTTTTTTCGCGACATTTTCGCAAAATCTCGCGAAAAAAGCTAAGGTTAAAGGGTACTGTTATGAATGGGAGATCACTTACATCCCTTTCAGTAGATTTGAAAATTTACTTCGCTTAGATTCTGAACCCCCCTTTTCTAAATGCTGAAACCTCTCTATAAAGAAAATACTTTACTTAAAGCTAAAAAAGCTTTCTTGAGAACTTGTCCTCAATAAAACCATTAATTGAAGAATGTTGTCAATACTCTGACAAATATTCAAATACAAGGAACAAGCTTTTTCTCCGATCCTTGGATTGGCTTTTTGTTGCAAAGGTTTCTCCGGAGCAGTAAATCTTGCCAAATATAACGCAGGAGTTTTCTCAAGATAAAGTTGGAACAATATCCAACTAATTCTTAATCAACCCCAACCCATCCTGTGCCAACATACTGTTTGATTATGTCAGATCTAGTAAATAGAACTGTCTACAGCTAAACCTTATACCCGGATAAAAAAAAAACAGGAAACCTCTATTCTACTTCATCTGTTCTAGTAATTGGGTTCAGGCTTAGTACTCTGAACAATATAATCTCTCTTTACAAATACTAGGGTTCAGGTTTAGTAAAGTTTACTACATCTGTACTGATAGTACTAGGGTACAGATTGTGTGCGGTTTACTCCATATTTACTTGTACTAGGGCACAGGATAAGAACAGTGTACTCCCTCTGCACTAGTACTTGGGTACAGGATTAGCACAGTATACTCCCTCTAGTACAGGTTTAGTACAATATACTACCTCTTTACTATAGTACTAGGGTACATGATAAGTACAGTGTACTCCATTTTCCCTAGTACTAGGGTACATGATAAGTACAGTTTACTCCATTTTCCCTAGTACTAAAGTCCAGGTTTAGTACAGTGTACTTCCTCTGTAATAGTCCTAAAGTCCAGGTTTAGTACAGTGTACTTCCTCTGAACTAGTTCTAGGGTACAGGATTAGTAAAATGTACTTCCTCTGTACTAGTTCTAGGGTACAGGTTTAGTACAATGCACTTCCTCTGTACTAGTTCTAAAGTAAAGGTTTAGTACAATGTACTTCCTCTGTACTAGTTCTAAAGTAAAGGTTTAGTACAATGTACTTCCTCTGTACTAGTTCTAGGGTACAAGATTAGTACAATGTACTTCCTCTGTACTAGTTCTAGGGTACAGGATTAGTACAATGTACTTCCTCTGTACTAGTTCTAAATTAAAGGTTTAGTACAATGTGCTTCCTCTGTACTAGTTCTAAAGTAAAGGTTTAGTACAATGTACTTCCTCTGTACTAGTTCTAAAGTAAAGGTTTAGTACAATGTACTTCCTCTGTACTAGTTCTAGGATACAGGATTAGTATTCTAATGGAAAAAGATGCTTGACTCTAAACTATTCCAAGACTGGAAAAGTTTTCAACAAATTCAACAGATATTTCAATTCTTCGGCGAACAAGTTTCAATATCCACTCCTGAACTTACAAGTTTCAATATCCACTCCCGGACTTGCAAGTTTCAATATCCACTCCTGGACTTACAAGCTTCAATATCCACTCCTTACTTACAAGTTTCAATATCCACTCCTGGACTTCCAAGTTTCAATATCCACTCCTGAGCTTACAAGTTTCAATATCCACTCCTGAACTTACAAGTTTTAATATCCACTCCTAGACTTACAAGTTTTAATTTCCACTCCTACACTTACAAGTTTCAATCTCCACTCCCAGACTTCCAAGTTTCAATACCCACTCCTAAACTTAAAAGTTTCAATATCCACTCCAGAACTTACAAGTTTCAAAGATTCAATATCCACTCCTGGACTTTCAAGTTTTAATATCCACTCATGTACTTTTAAATTTTAATATCCACTCCTAAAATAGCTTAAAATTAACATCTTTACGAACTATAACATTTTACTTTAAATAATATTTCATCTTTAAATTACAACAGAAATTTAAGTAAACGCCAGTGCTATAAACAATTACTACACAATTCCAGTTTCTTTGGAATTGTACAGGATGGTCATTTAGAGATACGCTGACAGTACTTTTAAACTCTTCTCAAGTTTGTGCAGAGTTACTTTTCTTTTAAACTCTTTAAACTCATGATAAATATTCCATTTTTTTTAAATTAGTTGAGTTCAGTTATTCTCCTGCATGTATGATGAAAAAGCGAAATAATATTAATATCCCCCCCCCCTTATTTTATTCTGCTCAGTGAGCTTTCCCGACCCTAATAGGATTGAGTAGGTTATAAGCGGGTTCAAGGGGAAATTTAATTTGATTTAATTTCAGATTAAATGAGAACCCTGAATCATAATAATTACAGTTTAAATACACGACCTGACTTAACTTCCACATCAAACTTCAAATAAAAGTTAAATTAAAATGTTGAATAATTAAGTGATTTCGATTTCTGATGTGTTTCAACCTTTCAGTCAGGAATATAACATGACATACATGAAACACAATATGTAAAAAATAAATGTTCTTTTAGAAACTTAAAATAAGAAGAATTTTCACGATTTTGTCATTTAGCCTTCAAACCAACAAAAATATGGATTTTTTAAATAAAGAAACTGATTACTAGCCACAGCTTCTATTTTTCTGAACCTAAATCTTTGAAAATTGATGTCATGTCGTAGATATTTAAAACCTTGTGAAAACTATAAATTCTACCAGATCAAGTTGTCAAAATTTGAGATATCGCACTCATATCAGGTTCATGTTGCAAAGATATAGTTTGTGATTACAAAATCATAGTTTTCATCCTTTCCTTTACCCCCCGATCTCCTAATTTGACAACGTTAAAATGAGGAAAAAAGTTTGAAAATTCATCCTGAACTTTAAAAACTTGTATTAAAACAGTTTTGTTCTTCTCAATAGCTTTGGTTAAGAGGACGCCACGTGATCACAAAAGTCAATGAGAAATGCAATACTAGCTCATCAACTTTCGCCCCCCCCCTATTCCCCCCTTCAGACCCCCTAGCTCCCTTCATAATGATGTACCATTTAAACCCTGGATGCGGCCTAAAAGGCTAAGAAAAGGTTTACTTAAAATAAATATAAATAATCCTGTTTTTACCAACTTCTGAAGAAATATTTTAATATCAAATATTTTAGAATAATAAATTATTCAAGATGTCACCAAGGGTTTGCAACTTTCTGACATCGTAGAAACAAAATATTATTCTTTACTTCAAACCAGACTAATATCAGATACCTGACAGATACCTGATGCCTGACTGATACCTGACAGATACCTGATAACTTACAGTTACCTGACAGATACCTGACAGATACCTGACACATACCTGACAGATACCTGACATATATATGACATATACCTGACAGATAACTGACAGATACATGACAGATACCGGACAGATACACTCGCAGGAGTGTAACCCGAAAACCAGAGAAGTTGTGAGGTCGAAAAGCCGTGTTAGAATATGAAATTAGATTAAAATGATTTTATCCTTAATTTTGCAGGGATTTAGCTAGATTTAACATTTGATATTTTTACGCTGAATAGTTTAAAGGAATTTACAATTTGAATACAATTCTAGGTTTGATTTTCCTTATTAACTTCGAAGCCTTTTTCTTAATGATATTAAATACAAATTAATGTGTACGTATTTTGTTGACGGGGGTGCAGGCCATTCCAATCTCTACCATAAGGAGTATTTTTATTTCAGGCGGCATTACTGATGCACCTTTGCGACCTCCTGACTTCTCTAGTTTTTATTTTACATTCAAAGTCAGGGCATTCAATTTTTTTGAGTTCCATATAAGGATTTCAAAAATGTCATTATCTTATCAATAGCTCTTTAAAAAAAATTTGTGATTGAAAACATGCTAAATTTTAAGACTATTTTCATACTATAAGACAAGAATCTTTTCAGATAGTATAGCAAGAATATTTTCAGATAATTAGACAAGAATATTTTCAGATATAAGACAAGAATATTTTCAATTAATAAGACAAGAATATTTTCAAATAATAAGACAAGAATATTTTCAGATAATATAACAAGAATATTTTCAAATAATAAGACAAGAATATTTTCAGATAATAAGACAAGAATATTTTCAGATAATAAGACAAGAATATTTTCAATTAATAAGACAAGAATATTTTCAAATAATAAGACAAGAATATTTTCAGATAATAAGACAAGAATATTTTCAAATAATAAGACAAGAATATTTTCAAATAATAAGACAAGAATATTTTCAGATAATAAGACAAGAATATTTTCATCCTTTATATACTCAGACAAAGCTTTAAAGATCGGTTATGTGACTCTTTAAATGAAAGATCTTTTTAAACGTCATTTTTGTTAATTCTATTGCAGAAAATATTTACAAAATCTAAATATAAAACACTTCACAAATTTATCATTTTCTAAAAACTGATTTTGTTTAAATGGCACCTCAAGATAAAAATAGTAACATATCAAAATTATCATGATCTTTTTTCTTAAATGTAACTCACCTGTTTTAGAATCCTATAAAATCTGGACATTACTGTGAAAGATCTGGGAGTAATGGATATCAATAAGTTTATAGAGCGCTTTTATAGGAAACCAGTTTCAACCATTTCTCAACATTGAAAGGGACTGTAAGCGTAATTCAAGTGATCCTCCATGCAAAAATGACAATACCCGATTTACAACGGTACCCTGTCTGATCAAGTTTTTTGTAAACTATCTATTTTCATTTAAATTGCGAATTTCTTGCATATTGAAACAATGGAAAAATTGTCAGAATCAAACACTTTTCAAGACAGAAAGAAGACGTTTGTTTTTCAATTTTCAATTGATTAAGGTTTCAAGGGTTCTGTTGTAAATCGGGCATTGTGCGCTTTGCATGGAGGATTACGTTCCAGTCCCTTTAAACAAAATAATTCCACGAAGCCATTTTTTCTAGGAGGAATGTTTGTTTATATTCATCCTAGACACTGTAGTACACTTATTTTGTAAACAAAGCTATGGAGTTCCTGATATATTTCTTGGTTATAGGATACAAGGTTACCCAGAAAGGCTGAGAGTTCAGAGACGACTGTACGGAATTCAATTAGTCTTTTTTTTTGTTACACTATGGTTCCCTGCAGTTGTATACACTTGTTTCTTTCACTTTCAAATTATTAGGTATACCTTCCAAAAAATATATTCAAATTAAATTTAACCTTTAGTTCTGTATAGGTCGTCATTGGAGTCTCATTATTTGTGGGTAACCCTGTAGTCATGGTTTATACGTGGCTGCCAGTACTATAGCTCGATTAGTACGTACAGAGTATTTATCACTTTTTAGAATTACATTTTATATTTTAACCCTATTCCCGCTGGGGGGGGGTCAATTTGACCCCCCCCTGTAGTTTTTTTACATAACTCAAAAAGTATTGGTCTGAGGCTGTTGAAATTTTCTGACTTTTCTTACATACCCAAAGCCCTCCCTTTAGGCCTAAAACCGGGCTTTAATACTAACTGCCTGAGTCCTCAGGCACACTGCCTGAATGACTGCTTTTGCCTTTAGCAAACTAAATCTTTGTTTTGACCCACTTTCACTTGTCAGATTTTGATAAAATTTAGCTTTTTGGAAAGCCTATGACATAAGGAAACGGATTGCCCAAGTTTTGCGAAAAAAAAATTGCAAATTTTTTGCAAACAACCTGTCAAAGAAAATTTGCACATTTTTAGTTTTTCTTGATTAAAAATCAGGTTATTTAAAATTTTGCAAAAATTTTTGCATATTTGAAATGGCATGGTCAAGGGATTTGCAAAACTGTATAATTTGTCATTTTTTGGACAAATTTTTTTTTGCAAACATTTTTACTATAAAACTGGATTTTGCGATAAAAAATTCAATTTTCGCAAATTTGCAGTTTTTTTTGCAGATTCTAAAAGTAGAGCACAAGAGCTTTCTAATGATGTATCATTTGTCATATTTGGACATAAAACATGGGATTTAGAGGGGGGGGTCAAATTGAATGCTATGAATTATTTTATACTATTTGAAAGTATTAAAAGAAAATATTAAAATAAGTATAAACATATGCCTGATAGGACTTCATGTTCAATGTTATCTCGAATTAACGAAAATAAAAATCTAGTATTGCAACACGAGTCAATTAGAAAAAAAATGTAATTAAATTTTTGATAAAATGTTATAGCATATCCTGCTATTTCCGATTTACGCCATTTTTCTATGTTTTGTAAAAAGATAAATTCCTAAATACACCTGTCATTAAGTATATTGAGACCCTCCCCCCCCGACAATTGAATATATTGCTACGCATGATGTGTTTGGTTTTCAAGATGATCGTTGATCGTGTTAAAACAAAACTATATTTTAATAAATTCATCATAATTACACTGCTCACAAACCGTTACATACAGAATTTCATCGTAAGACAATTATTAGAAAAATCACTTCTACATGGTTTCATACTTCTAGGTATTTAAAGAGAATGTACAAGCGTAATTTCAAGTGACCCTTTATTTACGGAGTGGCAGGTTATATTTACAAATAACCCTTTAAACCTCTAGCAGATCAAGGATGAAGAAGATATCCTTGTTTTTCTATCTTAATTTTAATTATGTAACAAGAGAAACGACGACGATACAGATAGATCGAGATCATTGGAACGTTTTGGAAAGTTAGAACATGTATCTCTATAAATGGAGGATCAGTTGAAATTATATGTACATGCCCTTCAGTTTTTGTCTAAAGCTCAAAACTGTTAGTGTACTGTAGTGTTGACACATTCCTTCGACACAAAATATAAATAAAAAGTGTGTACGTCTATTTTTAGTGAACAGTGTTCTAATAAATCAGATAACACTTGGTAGTACAGTAGATTATAATTCGTTAGTATCTGGATATATTAATGTCTAAATATAGAATATATATAATATATTCACAACATACGTAAATGTTTAAATCCGGTGTAAAATTAATCTGGAACACCAACACACCTGTATCTGTTAGAGTATAGTATTCAATGCAATCATTCATGAAGCATGAATACAACACACGGATAAAAACAAACAAATGAATAAGAAACAATTGAGTTTTTACCAAAAACTTAATCTTTTTAATCCCGGATATCTTTGCAATCTAATGTAGTAGACCTTAAATATTTCAAACTATGAATTGTGAAAGATCAAATAACCTAAGTTTAAAATATCAAAGGTTTACACCATTTATATAAGATATAGGGATTGGAAAATATGAGTTTGTGACAAAGATTTAAGAAAGTTTTACATTAAGCACACAAAGTTATTTTACCTTTATCGTTGCTTGTCTCTAATCCTGGATCGGAAGGTTTTGTTACTTCAATAGGACGGAGATATTCAGCAGAGTTCAAGGAGTCCCTCTCAGTATTCTCCGTGGTACATATAGAACCTGGAGACTGGAGATCAATCTCATTATTATCCTTGGTAACTCCAGGACCTGGAGACTGGGGGTTAATCTCAGTGCTCTCCGTAGTAACTGCAAAACCTGAAGACTGGGAATCAATCTCAATGTTCTCCGTGGTAGGTACATGACCTGGAGACTGGGGATCTGAACCAGTAAGATTAAGTTGCTCTTGAAAGATTAAATAAATGTTGGCTTCTTTAGTATCTGTCTCCAGGACGTCAAGAGAGATGTTACTCTCATCTTTATCTATAATCTCTTCTTCTGCAATAGGATTCAGAAGACGTTCTTTATCTCCAGGGATCAAATCTCCAGTAGGGAAACCAATATGAACAACTTTATCACAGGTGTCTTGGTTCTCCAGGTACCCTTCAAAGCTGGTTTCCTCCTGAAACGGATCAAGTTGGAAGAAAGGAGACAAAAGAGCATCTCTAGATTCATCTTTGGTAGTCAAGTCATCACTAGAAATAGCATCAGTAATTAAGGAACATATAAAAGTTTGATTTAATAAAAAATGTTTGTGTTATTAATCTGTAAAGATAAGAAAATATTTGATTACCTGCTTCGTGCATCACTTGTAGAGCTAAGTATAGTGGAGTCTCCGTATTTTCCCTTCCTTATGTCGGTTTCACTAGTTGGCTCGCTCCTTTCAAGTCCGGATTCAGGTTCACTAGTTCGCTTGCTCCTTTCAAGTCCGGATTCAGGTTCGCTAGTTGGTTTGCTCCTTTCATACCTGGAGCCAAGTTCACTAGTTGGGGTTCTCCTTTCATCTCCGGAGTCAGCTTCACTAGCTGGTTTGCTCCTTTCATCTCCGGAGTCAGGTTCACTAGTTGGTTTGCTCTTTTTATACCCGGAGTCCGTTTCACTAGTTGATTTGCTCTTTTCATACCCGGAGCCAAGTTCATTAGTTGGTTTGCTTCTTTCATATCCGGAGCCAAGTTCACTAGATGATTTGCTTCTTTCATACCCGGAGTCAGGTTCACAAGTTGGTTTGCTCCTTTCATACCCTGAGTCAAGTTCACTTGCTAATATAAGGGTTTCTGCTCCAAGGTTAGGTGTTACAGTCTCCGATTGCGGAATTTCTTCAATATTAGTTGCTTGGAAAGAATCTGATTCAACCTTCACTGTTTTATTGACACTATTACACGTTGCAGATTTGTCAGAGTCCTCAATTTTGACAATTGAATTGTGATTATAATTTGTTTCCACAAACGAATCGAGGGTCTCGGATTTGATTTTATATTTTGTTTCTGCCTCTGAATTATTCCTGATAATTTAAGGATTAAAGAATTAATGAAAATATAATTAAATTGTTAAATTTAGAAAAGCATGAAAAGATGTGAAATGTTTATGTCAAAAAACTTTTTTAAAATTATCAAAACATTCCTGAGATCTTTTGCCTTGCATTGCGTTCTTGTTCCCAAACTCTAGAATCTTCTTGATTTGATTCCAAAACTCTAGAATCTTCTTGATTTGATTCCGAAATTCTAGAATCTTCTTGATTTGGTTTCAAAACTCTAAAATCTTCTTGATTTGATTCCGAAATTCTAGAATCTTCTTGATTTGGTTCCAAAACTCTAGATTCTTCTTGATTTGATTCCAAAACTCTAGAATCTTCTTGATTTGGTTTCAAAACTTTAGAATCTTCTTGATCTGATTCCAAAACTCTAGAATCTTCTTGATTTGATTCCAAAACTCTAGAATCTTCTTGATTTGGTTTCAAAACTTTGAATTCTTCCTGATTTGAATCCAAAACTGTAGAATCTTCTTTTACTGTCTCGCCCAATAACAATCTAAGGATATTCCCTGAAGAAATGTTCTTACCTTGGCTACTAGTATCCTGGTGTACGCTACCCTGCCATGTTGTGTTAAAATCACTACCGTTGATATCTCCGGCTATCTGCGCTGTACTACTACTACTGGAATTATTGGGAGTGAAAGCAGAGCGGAACTGCTCTAGAGTAGAACTAGTTCTATTTATCTCCAATCCTTCCGCTACAGATATCGGAGTAATCCTGTCTCGTTCTTTTGAATCAGATTTTTTCTCGATCTCTTTAGTATCATTCGTATTATTAATAAGTACTTCCTGGTGAATAGAGTATTTATGATCTGAATTATCTATATTTGATTTATGCTCCACAGAGTTTGTATTGTAGATTAACCTTCCAGAATCTGTTTTATCAAAACCTCTAGTTTCATTATTCTCCGATCTTGAACCTTGCTCTGATTGAGTATTCAGGTCAAACACCTCGTCAGAGTCAGTTCCAGAACTCTCTGTAGGATCAGGACGGTTCCGAGATATCTCCAGTCTCCGGATATTCCGCACCGGAGACCGATACTTGGTCTGTATCCGGGAACCAAGATCATCCGGAGAAAGAAGATGACTCCTTCCGGAAATGTTTATATCCGGGGAGGAAACTTTAAACACTTCATCCACATCCGGGGTGTAGTACTTCCCGTCCCAACCTTAATATTCAGACTTTTTATCAGTTTGTATTTATATCAGATCCTACGGATAGTTTCTCCCCCTGGGTTCGTATATACAGGGTGTCCCAAAAAACATGGGAATTCAGTGACGAATTCGATATCGTCTTTTTAACTAATTCTTTGATTTAGTTTAGTGATACCTACTGAGAAAGCTGTAATCTGTAAGACTTTCGTCTGCTATGTTCACATTTTGTTTGTTTATGTTTTGACTGCATACGGTTGTACTTAGTAAAACAAGAAAATTGCAGTATACAAACAGAGTAAACTTGTCCGTCCTCACTGTTCATCTTGCGGAGACATTATAAACACCTCTTTACAGTCTTTTACTCTTTTCATAAAATAAACTCTAGCAGACATAATAATATTATGGCTCTTGAAATAGGTATTACTATGCTAATTCATAACAAAGACGATATCGAATTCGTCACTGAATTCCCATGTTTTTTGGGACACCCTGTATGTGTATACCCGGAGTAAGGTTCAGACACACGGACCCGCCCTAACCTGTCATTGTCTCATTTTTCTCAAATTCACGATTAATCTTAGTTTAGAGTTAGTTTGCCTTTCAATTTCAACCCCTGTGACTTTAAAACATTAGTTTGAATCATGAAAATAAATACAGATTTAATACAAGGTCGGGTGTGAATCAGACATCATTGAAAATCTGTAATTATTGATAAAAATGACTCAGAAACGGATGATTAAAATTTTTACTTTTGTATAATTGTTACTTTGAAAATAAAAAAATTCAATTTAGAATGTATCCAGATGATTCAGCGTTGATTTTTTTAAACTTGAAAAAAGTTGTTTTATGTTTCTATTTTATTTTTCTATTTAAAGAGACTTAAGAACTAATTTCAATGTTTCCTCAATATAAAGTATTAAATGCCCGATCTGTTTCAGAGAGCAAAACAAGGATAACTTAATATTTTTCTTCAGATAATGGTATAAACGGCACCTTGTCTTGAAAAAAGTTCATTCAAGTAAAGGGTTGTTACATGGTATTGTATTCTAGTTTAAGGAAAATGAATATCATTGTTTTACTACAAATTGTGAGAAATATTTTTGCGTCATGCTAAGTCATGCCTTACAAACAGCAAAAAACAGAATTAAAAGAAAATTGATTGGGTTTACAGATAAATGTATTCCAACATAAAACAAATTCCCCCCCCCCCCCTCCCCCATACATCTCTTCCACTTATATCTTACATATCCCATTCGCACTACTCTCCTAAATCGCATCCCCAAAAACTGATCCCATTCCTCCCCAATTTTCCCCCCCCCCCTCCTCCTCCGATGCCCCTTCTTTCTCCCCAAATCCCCCCCCCCTAATCATTTCGTCTTACCCTTACCTCTCTTATAATCTCTTTGTTTTATGCACAAATATTAATTAAATGTCGATTGGTGGTATATTACTAATATTTGAAAATGTTTAACAATAGAGTTTAATATTTCTTCCAACTAGTCCCTTTTACCTGACCCAAAACCTAGTCCCGATTCTAGCCCTGGTCCAAGTACTGGTTCTAGTACTGCTCCGGTAAACCCAGACCAATGAATGTCGTCTTCTAGTTCTCTTACTCCATGAACCTTCAACCCGTTCCTGAGAAGCCCAGAACTCAAACCCTAAAATCAATTAAAACAAAAAATTTGGAATCAGCTTTGATCCCAACCACTATAAAGTTTGCTAAAAAGAATATAAATCGATCTGTAAAAAGTTGAACGGAAGATACAAAAAAGTTCTAATTATTACTAATTACTAATTATTATTATTATTGTTCTTGCTATTTTTAAAATTACCAGAAGTGTATTTTTATCTTTAAATGCTAAAGTGACTTTGTTGTGACCAGAGATTAGAAAAAGGCAGAATTTGCAAATGTCTCCGCATCCAGGCTCTGACTGGGATCCGGAGCTAGATCCTTCCTCCACCTGATCAACAAACTTTTGCAATGATATGTTTGAAGGAATTAAGTCTTTGCCAGAAACTCTGATTTTCTATTCCTTATTTCTTTGCTACCCAATTTCGAAGATCTTAGATTTTTCAAACTATGAATTCTGTTAGATTAAATAATCTAAGTTTAAATTATCAGAACTGTACACCATCATGTTGCAAAGATGAATGGAATAGAAAATGTGAGTTTTTGTCAAAACTCAAATCCTTTTATGCACATATTCATATTCAAGGTCATGTTCATATTGATATATTCATGTATATAAGAATTTTGTTTAGAGTACATGTAATTTTCAAGTTCATGTTGAATGTTCTTGGCTTTGGTCAATTTAATAAAACTATCATATTTATATTTTATAGATTTCACCTTTTCCTCATGTTCTCTCTTCTTTTCCTCATTTTCCTTCTCCTTCTTCTCCTCCTTCTTTTCCTCATTTTCCTTCTCCTTCTTTATCTCCTTGTTCTCCTCCTTCTTTACCTCCCCGGAGTTAGCATTGAATGCATCAGGATGAGGGATGTAAACTTTACCCACCTCAAGGGAAACCTGACTAAATATTTTAAAAATTATTATAATTAATTTACGTTCAATTAAAAATCATCAGATCTTTGAGATCTTGATTGGACAGAGGTTATTTAATTTGATTAAACAAGTTAAAATTTTTCAGATTTGCCAATGTTTCAATAATAAAAATTTGGTGGTTTGACAAATCTTACATAGTTTAATGTAGCTTCAGCTCTCCAGGTTGGAGTTGAAGGCACATTAACTGCAAGAACTACAGAAGATTTAAAAGTTTTCACCTCTGCTACAATTAAGAAACGTTATTTGGCATAATTGACATTTCTTCATAAAAAAGAGTGGCATAAAAGTTGATAATTACTTGTAAGAGAAGGTAACACTGGAATCAAACACGTGATCTCCTTGTTCCACTAGATGTAAGGATTGTTGGCCAACCACTATTCTCCTACTCTCCCATACACCTTGGAGTAAATACAGGCTCTTTCAAAAAACATGGAATTGGAGTAGTGATTTCGAGATAGTTTTTGATAGGGAAAAGCATTGTAATGCCAAATTTCAACAGACACAATAAAATTATTTTATGAAAATGGTATAAGAAGTACATGGCTGTTTTATTATTCTGCAAAACTGTAGGATGTGTCTGTAATATTTCTGCAAAACTGTAGGAAGTATCTGTAATATTTCTGCAAAACTGTAGGATGTATCTGTAATATTTCTGCAAAACTGTAGGATGTGTCTGTAATATTTTTGCAAAACTATAGGATGTGTCTGTAATATTTCTGCAAAACTGTAGGATGTGTCTGTAATATTTCTGCAAAACTGTAGGAAGTATCTGTAATATTTCTGCAAAACTGTAGGATGTGTCTGTAATATTTCTACAAAACTGTAGGATGTATCTGTAATATTTCTGCAAAACTGTAGGATGTGTCTGTAATATTTCTGCAAAACAAACAGTAATGAGGGACAACTTGACTTTGTTTTAACTTAGAATGAAAATCTAGCAGACGAAACATTGGTTGCTTTTTTGAAGAAATAAAAACATATAAACCCCATTTAATTGGGAACAACACTCAAAAATGTCCCTAGGTATACGAATGATCGATACTACCCATGCTGAACCCTTATAGGCTCGGGGGTCTGATTCTATGTACACTGTACAGCGTTTACGGGGGGGAAAGTATAGGACCACACATCATGTTTAGAGTCCAATTTTTCAAGGCCAGCTCATTGAAAACGAACTAGACCTATAACTATAATAGTTTAGGTGCTAGAGGTGTTTGATAATAATGTCAAAAAACAGGTTGCTTTAATCACAAAAAAGTAATGGGCCAATTTTATTTTTTTTTAACTCGGACCGGCCGTTTTGCCACGCTGTTCCCTACACTATATATGCATTAAAAAAATTGTAAAAAAATTCTTAAAATTACTATTTCTTAAAAGTAAAAAATGTAAGGTGCTAGTGTCGAAAAGAAGCATGATTAAGAATCAAATTGAAGTTGTGTCCAATAAACATCCTTTCACTATCCTACCTGTTTTAATTATTCGTTGGTTACATTCTCCTTCCCAGATAGGACCTGTCATCTTACATTCTTCTTTAATATTATTCATACATTCTTCCTTCCCAGATAGGACCTGTCATCTTACATTCTTCTTTAATATTATTCATACATTCTTCCTTCCCAGATAGGACCTGTCATCTTACATTCTTCTTCAATATTATTCATACATTCTTCCTTCCCAGATAGGACCTGTCGTCTTACATTCTTCTTTAATATTATTCATACATTGTTCTTAACATTTTTTATTTTATTATCCTTCTTTTAATATACATAATTCCTTATAAAAAATTATATATAAGGAATAAGAGCAGTAAACTAATATCATATTTCTTTCGCTGACATCAAATGATTTCAGAAGCTCAACATATTTTCACTATATTGTCAAATTCACTTTAAATCTCTTTATCTAGGTTATTCACGTCAACACTTCGAAATATTGAATACGCAATTAATAATTCCGTAACATGATGCGCTTTGAACTGAAACTATTTTTTGATTAGAAATATAGATAGAGGTATTATAACGAGGAAACTCCCCCCTTGTTACAAACACACACTATACTTACTTACACATTACACATAGCTAGTTTTAATTCTAATCATGCAATATCAACATTGCTCTAACCCCCCCCCTCTCATTCACATTTTTTAATCGAGGTTTTTAGAAACAGAAATATATATAAGGATACTTTTGATCCAATCATACTCATGACTAAACTGATGTCAGAAAATCTAATTTTTTTAGAAAATGTTAAGAATGCCAGATAAAAAGCTAATTTCGTCGATACTTGGTTTTCAAGGATCGTATACATGGCACTAAAATGTTAGGGTCTTCCAATAGCTAAACTTTCCTCAAGTGCACAGCTTTGCACCCTTTTCTTGAACTTCAAAATCAGTTTAATTTCAGCTAAAAGAATTTAGTTCTCGTCAGTAACTCAAATTTTCTTATTTCTCTATCTTTGCAACCTGTGATCTAACAGTATTTACAGTTACAAATATCCATTTACATATTTTTACATCTTATCCTCTAAATCACGGAGACAATTTTTTTTTCATAATTGGCAATAAAAACAACCATTAATGCTCTGAATTTTTACATAGTGATATCAGATGATTTGGCAATGTTGAAACAAGGTTTAGGTTGCAGATCATATTTAGCAAATACGCAATCAATCTAAAAACGACGACATGTCAGAGAAGCCTGAAACTCAACTCAACTCCTAAAATATTTAGGTTTCAGCCTATCACCCTTTCATTTTTCGTTTACAGTCCCTTTAAAGATTTACTTTAAGCAATAATTTGTAAAACTATACAGAGTATGAAGTACGATCCGAATTAAAGTTAAAGGAGAATGATAAAATGGAAATAAATGTCTTATAAATGTTTAGATTAATACATTTGAAAATAATTCTATTAGTGTAAATGAACTTTATTATCTTGAGCTCTTTGAAGTTGACGCATTACGCTTAAAGTTCTTAAAGTCACCTTTTATTTAAATAGCATGGCGCATTTTGTAATCACAACGATACCCTTTTAACCCTTCATCTGAGTAACAAGATCGGAGATTTTGTCAAGTTTCTGTCTTTAAAAATTTGAAATTTAGACAATTTCCTTTCTTATCTCTGCTGTACAAATTTTATAGAAGAACCATAAATAAAAATGATCCATTTTTAGCTGGAAAAGCTAAGATATACATTCATCCATTATAAAAAAATGTTTTTATTAACGTTGTTAATCAGACATGTAACTTTATAAATTTGGGGTCTCCTGGGGGTCTCTTTATAATACAAAATTATGTTTTACTCCTCTAGTTTAATTTCTAAAAAAAGTTTCTGTCGTCTTCCTTTTTGCAATAATGAACTAAATTAGAGTAAATAAAACAACAGAGAACCTTAAGGGACTGTCTCCGTAATTTTAAATGCCCTCCATTTAAAGAAGGACATGTGTCTGATTCACAACCCTGTACTCTTGAAAACTTAATCTGATTAACGTTTAAATCTGACATTTTCGCTCTTGTTGCTGAAGAAAGCAACAAATGCGGATTTCTTGCGCCGCGAAAATCACTAGTATTAGATGTGCTACTCTTTTAATAAAAGGTAAGTTGAAATTACGTCGTATAGTCCCTTTAAGTTAACAAATATATATAGTGTATTTTCCATTAATGCATTAATTATATGCAACTATTTGCACTCCAAGTACGAATATTAACTTCATAAAATCGATTAATTTGGTCTAGATAACGTACATAGCTTATTATAAAAACGTTTAGCAAATAAAAATGGCTAAATAACATGCAAGCAACTTTCATATTTGATATTTAGTAAATATTAAAATAGATTTCTACCTCATGTACAAACGTATAAATCAAAATTAAATTTAAATTAAAATTAAAGTCTGCACTGTTTTTCATCTTGCCAAAACAGACACTTTTTTATATTGCATAATGTCTAGGGTTTTTTTACTGTTGCTTTAAAAACGAATTTGATCACAGCATTTAAAAAAAATAAGGTTGACGAAGTTAGAAAAATCTTATTTATATGATTTAAAAAACATAATTTAAAAAATTTTTATTTTTTATTTTCTACTATATAACTTAGCGAACAAACATTGTTATTAATAGTTGGAAGAAGTTTTTATAAGAGAACAATCTGTGTAAACATTTCTTATTGTCTAGAATCATTATTCATTTCTATTCATATCAAAACCACAGATTACACAGATAAGTAAAGATTAAAAATATGTAAAGATTAAAAATATGTAAAGATTAAAACTATGTAAAGATTAAAACAATTTAAAGATTAAAACTATGTGAAGATTAAAACGATGTAAAGATTAAAACTATGTAAAGATTAAAACGATGTAAAGATTAAAACTATGTAAAGATTAAAACTATGTTAAGATTAAAACTATGTAAAGATTAAAACTATGTAAAGATTAGAAATATGTAAAGATTAAAACTATGTTAAGATTAAAACTATGTTAAGATTAAAACTATGTTAAGATTAAAACTATGTTAAGATTAAAACTATGTTAAGATTAAAACTATGTAAAGATAAAAACTTCAATCCAATCTTCAAGGAACTGTCGGTGAACTCAGAATATACTTATATACCTGGTTCAGTACCGTGAAAATCGTAGTAAGAGATTAAGAAGGCATTCATGTTTTTATATTGAAAACTTGATATTTTCAATTGCGGTTTCGCTGTATACTTATGACACAAAATAATTAAGAATTTGCATTGTTGCAAATAATCCTTAACAACTTTTTATCTTCATAATCTATGATGAAAACAGAATATTTTACAAGGATAAATAAAACTGTAGAGAAGCAGTATCTGGTGTATCTCTTCTACCCAAGAGGTATAGAATACCATGGAGCAGGAGTCGACCTGCTCTTCACCAGCTGCTTAATGCATGTTTTGCTGACTGCAGACACAACTTTTAAAAAAGTATTTCTACTATTTATTTTCACAGCCTGTTCCTAAACAATTCATTAGTTCACTGTAGAAGTTTTACTACATAAGTTTTGTCGTCGTTATTTAACAATTTAAAAAAATCGATTTACGAAACTTAATTCTACCCAAACGGATGATTGCGCTCAAACTCAGTAATTATACATCATTAAAACGTTTTATTTGTCTTATGTGAATCCTAAAAAAATTTCTCCACAATAGCTACATTCTCAGTTCAACTACCATACATTGCCGGTCACTCCCTTTTAGGATTATGCAACTTTACATTCAAGAGATATTCGGGTTTTTAATCTTTGCAATTCAATATCATGGACCTTAGTTTCAAAAAATGAATTTAAATAATCTAAGTTTGAAATGTCAAAAGTTTACACCATCATGTTGCAAAGATAATTAGTTTGTTGCACTACAAACATGCAAGAAAAGGGCACCGCAAAACATGTATCAATAATATTGTTAGGCGGAACAGGTCGACTCCATGGATTTTATACTCCTTGATTCCTCTTCTGCACTGAACAAAATGTTGTTTCTTGAATCGTTGGACCATTAGAAACTAGTGAAATTATGCGCAAACAAAGAAAACCCAAGTGCAACAAAAAAACTTTTCACATTAGACCGAGGTTCATTTTATTATAGTTTAAAACCTGTACTTTCTAGAACACAAGATTATTTAATTTAACAGATGTCATTGTTTGAAATATCTAACGTCTACGACATTGGGTTGCAAAGATATAGGTATTATAAAATCAGAGTTTGTGGCAAAAACTCAATCCTTTGCGCATTCTATGCCTCTTAAAACACGATGCATGTTGCCAAAAACTTGCTAAACATTATTAGCTAGTGCATGTATAGTGTATAAACATGGTGAATAAGATTTACTTTGGCAGATGTTAAACCTTGAGACAGAGAAGAGAGGATGCAACCTGACATGATGCAACTTTCATATTGCTTATCATTTTGCAAAAGCAACTTCCTTCCTTTTATCTCTTATCAACTTTGTCCAGTCATTATTATTTTACATATTATACCCTTCTCCTTTACTCTTATTTTATTCCTGTTGATTTACTTGATTATTATTTTTCCCTTGCTTCTCCTCATTCGCTTCCCCTTTCCATGTAGTACTTTTGCATTCTTAATGTTTTCATGAACAGAGTTACCCATAAAGGATGAGACCAAAAGAGACTGTACGCAAATTTCAAGGGACCCTCTCTATGAAAAAAAGGCATTGTCCGATTTACAACGGTACAATTAAAAACATTAGACTGTTTTTTATGGTTTCTCTGCAAAAGTGACACATTACTTGCTTATTCGAAACAATGGAGAAATTGTCTGAGCTTGACACTTTTCGAGTCAGAAAAACGACGTTCTCTCCAAGGTTTTAATCAGGTCAAGGTTTCAAGGGTGCCGTTGTAAATCTGGCGTTGCCATCTTAGAATTAAGGGTCACTTGAATTTACGCTTACAGTTCCTTTAAGAGAAGACTGTATAAAAACTTATTTAGTCTTTATTTTTATCTTGCGCCCACTCTTCACTTCTATCTATAGATGGTTTAATTTACGTTTAGAATCTAGATTTATTATCAACCCAAGCTCTTTTTTATTTATTTATTTATTTAGAGTGCCCGGGCTTGCCCAGGTCACTACAAACTAACATGTGCAAGCTCTGCTCTCACGAAAAATCAAGCATTATTTTGCCATTTACTCCTTTTAAAATTTAGCTAGAAACAAGCGCGTTGAAT